CCATTTTTTAAGATAACTGTGAAAGAAAAAAGCCTATTACCTAATGGCTTACACTAGGTTTTCCTTGAAGCAGTTCAGTAAACTAAGGAGGGAGCACTGAAACATGAGAATATAAATAAACAAAATCCAAAAGTACACATATGCTTCATTTTGTTGAGGTAAACAGTTCAGTCATCAACTGATTACAGTAACAATTACCCCACTCTAACATTTGTGGTCCTAAGTGTATCATTCAAGGTTTGCCTAGAAAGTTGCTAAAGCCCTGGGGTAAAAGATACCTGGGTTAACCTAAATTCCAAAAATTAAATGCCAGAATTTCAGCTTGGATCATCTTCGCTGTAAAACTGCTGTAGCGCTTTTCTGAATTGCAGATTTATGAATTGTCACAAGGTTGTGGTTTTTTTTTTTTCCTAGTTTGATGTCTTAGTATTTGTAAAAATAGGCCAGATTTCAGCCTTTTATTTTTTCTTAGTTTTTTCCTATATTTGCATTTGAACTTTCCATACAAGACTCATGTTGATATAATCACATTAATGATTTACCCTAATAAATATTACATAATAAAATTATTACATTTCAGATCTTTCAGAGACTATTACAACTTGCATGCAAAGTTGCAAGGTTTTCAGCTTTTTGGTGGGGAGTTTTTTTGTGGTTTTTTTTTTTTTTACAGTATACAGTCCAGTAGCAGCCCTAAAAATGAAAATTTCCAAGATGTCCAAGTAAATACATTGCTTTAATTAGAAAGGCTTGAATAAGAACACGCACCTACAAATAATTCACGAGAGACTGTCCAGCCTTCTATGAGAGATTCAACAAGAATAAATTAATTTTATGTGAAAATATATGAAAAGCAATCATGTCTTTGAAGTGAAAATTCCAGCAATATTCAGCAATGTACTACAGGGCACTGCAAGCCATTTTCACTAGATAATATTTAAAATTCTGTTGTACTAAAGATTGATGTTTTTCAATGTATAGCCCCAAATAATACACAGTACCTTTGAATTAACTCCATTCTTCCCTCCACAGGGAGGCTCTGGGTCCCGACCTGGATCCCGGTCTGGTTCACCAATTGCTAGGCGCTGAAGCTCCAAGATGCCATCCAAGGATCATGTACTCTGCTTCATAATGTAACAGCCTTAGAATCAATAACAACTGCAACAATTACCTAGATAGATGCCGTCCATTACTTAGTGCCAATTAGGTTCTGCATGCAGTAGATGATACAAACTTCTATTGGCAATCCCTGACCAACAGTTGAATGAAAGGAACGCAAAAAGTAGCTTTACTAGATGTTTTCCTTATTTTATGTGAAGTAACAAGATCTCTGACTTTACTCATTCTTCTTCAGGATGCCCTAACTGTATGCTGGACTTCATTATTTCTCCCAAGCCCCTAATCTGAGCTCATCTCCCCGTTTTGTTTTAGTGAACATCAGAATTACAAATAAAGAGCTAATGTCTTGGATACTGAGCACTGCTGTTAATGAATTTCTGAGACGCTGCTGTGAAAAAAAATATTCCACCATGTGCAGAAGTTGTAAGGACTGTTTATCCAAATACTTTTTTTTTGATTTGGGTTTTTTTGTTTTATTTTGTTTTAATCTTCCTTCTCTCACTCACAGAATAATTTATTTTCATAACAGGATTAGGCAGTCACAGAAAGGTTTACCAAACATTGGGAGTTCAAGGTATGTGAAGTGTGGGAGGGGGCAGATGTTGTAGAATCAATACGATGCTGAGCAATAGTAATAAGGAAATTCTTTCCAAACCGTGAATTGCTCATTGCATCCAAACCATTAGAATTAATAGCAGATGAGGGAGAGAAAGAGGATTTCAAATTTGAGTTAGACTAATGTTAAGAAACAAGGGATATTCCCAGAGAAGAAACATCTAAGATCGCACAAGTGACCACTGGACGTCACTGGTGCTTCACACAAACTCTGCTGCAAGAGCATTAACTTTGCAGTACAATAAGCAAGTAAATAAATATACAAACAAATAAGTCTAATTTCTGAAAGAGAGCCCTTCAGTACTGGTATCTCAGATAGTCCTGCACATCTCACGTTAGAATTTCAAATCTTTCTCTTGGTGTTGCAGCAGTGCTGTATTTGATCCGCTCATCTTTTGCCTGAGTAACATCTGGCTGCCTGTTAAGGGCAGTGCACCAAAGCAACTCATAGTAAACTACTGTGAACGTTTAACTGTTGTACTGTAGTTGCCTTATAGAAATAAATTATAGCTGAGTTAGATTTAGGTATTAATCTTTTATAAATTACTAAAATGAATGTGTAGCAATGGTATTTCCAACCACACCTAGGGAAAAGGCTCTTCTGAATTGCACTGTTTTATTACTTCAACTTACCGTTTCTTCGAGCTGTCGTCTAAGTGTCTGATTAATTATTTTATTTTTTTAGTTTTAGGCCTATGCATTGTAGACTACAGTTAGTGCTTCCCAGGTTGAAACTGCATCCTTAATAAGTGACCAGTAGAAGTTACCTATAGACATGTATCTTAATTGCATTTCACATCTAAATCTATTGTAGGTTTAAATCAGTGTCCATTAGTATGAAGCAATGAAAGATGAGAGGATAGAAAATACATAGAAACTAAAGAAAACAAAACCACCAAAATCATTAAGCATAAACACACGTATTACATCTTCTATTACCTACACTGGTTGCTATGTGTATTTTTCTATTGTAGCTTCATTCAGATGTATACTCTGCAACGTAATAGTTGATTTAATTTGAATACATATTGTTCTTATAGGAACACAGCTTTTAAAAATATTCATTATTGAAATAAAGTAATCAACTTGAAATGAAAACAGACCAGTTTTTGTCTTTTACAACAGATATCATGTATATAAAGTTCTGTGGTATTTTTCACAATTTATGAATAATGTTCAGACACTAGAAAATGACACTCTGGGACTCAGTTGCCTGCACACAGACTCCAAGTGACAGGGCTGGTGACTCAGCATGGCCCACAAGGCTGACAATGTGACACAGGATCCACAGGAGGCCAGTGTCTTTGTGGAGAGGCAGCTAAAGGCTGGGGGGATATTGCAAGGCATAAAAAACCAGTGTACAGGCAATGAAATCCTGCTCTTCATGAACAAGTATAGCACAAAGTATCTGCTTTGAACAAAGTATGTGAAAATCAAGTTGTTTTTTAAAGCAGCCTTCAAAAAGAAAGAATATTTAAGGTAAATAAAACCCAACTAGATAAATACATTTTTCAAAATACTATACTGTAGAAGTACAGAACTTATCCAAAGCTTCTTCCTTGCCTTCATCACTCTGCTTTCCCCTCAGTCATCTTTGCCAGGGGCTGGAAGTGGCTTTTTTGGATTTACTTACTATAGGAAGAAAAGGTATGGTATTTTAAAGCAGTATTTTACCAACACAAGTCTCCCAAGAGAGACGAAAACTTCGACTGAAATTTATTCTTTTAATTACTCCCTAGTAGTTTTGCTGAAAAACAGCAGTTTATATGGCCACGTGACTTGTAAGCAAATTATTTTCCCTGAAATAAGAACGCACAAGCAGCACTGGGCATGTGTCATTTCTTGTAGAGAAGGAATGGCCATAAACCAAAAGAAATAGTTGAGCAGACACAAGCTCAAAGGCCTGACGCGAGCGTAGGCCCGAAGCTGGCGTGGGCCTACTGCTGCATCCAGCCACAAAGAACAGAGGCATTCCTGTGCACTGCTCACATGCTCTCCTGCAACGTGACTCTTCAAACAGGCCTTACTACAACAGCTCTTTCTGCTTCCTAAAAACATGCATCTACTCCAACACTGCTTTTGAAAACACCAACATACTGGTTACAGTGTCTGTATTTGTACTGAACATCAGATACACTGCTTTGGAAACCTCCAACTCCATCTTACCAAGGAACCTGGGCTATAAAAACCTCTATGTTAGGATATTTAAGAGAGAATTCTCAAGCTCTAAAGAATTTTTCACAGAAAGAGTGGTCGGGCACTGGAACAGGCTGCCCAGGGATGTGGTTGAGTCACCATCCCTGGATGTGTTTAAGAGCCGTTTAGATGTGGTGTTGGGGGATATGGTGTAGGGGAGAACTTTGTAGAGTAGGGCAGATGGTCAGACGCGATGATCCCAAGGGTCTCTTCCAACCTGGACGATTCTATGATTCTATGATTCATGTGGGAGGAGGATGCAGGGAAGCAAATCAAATACCATGATACAAGAAAAGTTTTTTAAAAGTCTATTTACTGTAACTGAGAGGACTCCAAATGCTGGAGAACTGAATTCAGGAAAAATGTCAGGTGACTTCATAACTCACGGTGCTTATTTAACACTTCCAAGACTTACAACACACACTCATTGCCTCTAATCAAGACATAATACTGTGCAAAGTGACCATTTTTAACCAGCATCTTTTCACTCGCGAGATTCGCTTCTAGCACATGCTCATCAAGTATGAACCCTATGGGTTTTTACTTGCTGGCCAAGCAACCACAGCTAGAGCAGACCCAACGCTTTCAGGCAGTCAGGAATGACGTTCCCACTATGAAGGATGGATTTGCATCTGGATGTGACCAGCTATAAACCATCTTCTGTCAAACTGTATTTGGCAGCCTCTGGAAAGTCTCATCCCCTACGCAGCAAATCAACCCCAACAAACTGCTGTGCGTTTATACAGTGTTCTCTGAAAGAGGAGGGAAGATGTTTTCCATAGGGTACATGTGCAACACGGCACATTTTGTTATATTATTACAGATAAACAGGGTGCTATGCCATGGGGCCATTATGCCTTCAGACAACTAAAACAGAACGTCTTTCTTACACAGCCAAAACACTAATAGGCTGTTTGGAAGGAAAGGCACTGCTGGAAGGAAAGGCACCGCTGGAAGTACTTCAAATACATTCTTTACATATCATGTTGAGACACACACTTCTGGTAAACGCAGTTTTTAGAGTTTCCTAGAATCCAGAGTCAAATGCTTAAAAAATACACAAAACAGAATTTGGAAAAAAGTAATATTATTTAACATGTTTTTGAATTAAATATTCCACATAACAAAAGTGTTATTTTCATGTCACCATCTATATTACTTATATACATATGCCAAAGAGTTAACAAAAGAATTAAAAGATGCCCTATCAAAACCAACAGTGATTTCTTGCTTCAGCAATCTGAAATAACTAGTTTGTATCATAGACAAAGTATAGACAATATTTACATAAAAGGGCTTTTTGGATCTGAGAGCAATCATCTTTTAGAAGGTAAATTAAAATCCAACTCTGTATTATAGTACAACAAATCCACCACTGATCTAGAAGTACTTGTGGCAAACCAAAAAGATGAACTTCCTGCAACTGGGATTAGTATTTACAAAATATACTGATCAGCCACACAGAGGCTCGTATAACTTTAAATATATATATATATACATACAAGCACACATATATATATCTATATATATGTAACATATAAATAAAATTCAGAAGAACAAGGTAAAAATAAGAAAAGAGCTTCTGTCTTTGGAATGTCTAAAAGATGACTATGTCTTTACTCCAGTGTTTCTTCGTTATGAACATACTTAACAAGTGGCACCTTTCAAAGCATTACTTCGTCAACTAGGTAGTTTTGCTGAAACAATGACTTAACAAATCAAAGTAACATATTTCCAAAATTCACAAAGAAAATAACGAGGAATTTACAGATTTGAAATGATAACTGTTTTACAGCACTGGGGAATATTGTATAATATAGGTGACCTAGTGTGCATCTACCTTTCTTGCTGCTAACACAAAATTGTATGTTTTCCTCCCAGATTTAGTATATGGCTGTGTTTTCCACAGATACTGAGATATGTACCTGCTGATCCAATACAGCAAACATAAAAGAAGAGGCTTTCATTGGAACCTCTTCTAGTTTGGATTCTCTTTAAATAATTATTGCTGAGTTTAAAACCTCAGACTTTTAATGCAAAAACTAACAACTAACTGTCTCTGTGGTTGGAATGGAAACGAACATGCTCCCTCTCAATAGTTTAACTGAAGAAAAGCCATAAGTTCATGGCATTTTATTTTTTTCAACAAATACTCAAAATGTACTAAAAAAAAGCTTAAAACAGAAATACAGCATTCTCCTGTGCCTTGTAAAAAACAAAACTATTTTATACTGCATGCATCTACTCTGTAACATTGTTTCCAACCTCAATTATTTCTTTAAACACCCAAAAAAGAAAGCTGACCGACAGTTTCCCACGAAGTTATTCTTCACCTCCTTTAAAAATGGGAATCATTCTATTCTGATATAAAGTTCCAGTTTATTTTTCAAATAGATATACTGGCTGTGAATTAGAAGATGAAACTGTATACAGTATTACCTGAGTTCATTGATTCACAGACAACTTAGCACAGATTAAATGATGTTTTCTCAATATTCTTCTACAAGCTTAAAAAAAAAAGAATGATTCTTTTAGGTAATTTTTGTAAATAATTAAAAAACCCCTATAATATATTATTCTATCGTTAATATTTTCAATGCTTGAAGCTTTAACTGTAAAATCCATCTTTTCCTTTTCTGAAATCTTGTTTAGAGAAATTCAAGTCCCAGAAACATTTTTAGGTGTCACATTTTAACATGTCATCGAAAAACATTGCCTATACTTTGCCATTCATTTGAAGATTCTTGTACCACTTCTTCTAAATTCAGAGCACGACTAATATCTTCCCCTTCTTGTTCCTGATGACTAGGAGGCTCTTGTACAGGACCTACCAAAGTAAAGAGAAAAAGACGAGTGAGTATGATTTGAGGTACAGTATATGAAAAATGCAAACAGCACTTGGGAATAAAGGAATCATGCTGGGAGAAGTATTACATAGCTACTTCAGATTCTGTAAATTCATCAGATGGTCTTTGAAAAATTAAAACAAAGTTTTGTATTTCTGTACTACAGAGCTCCACAAAAAAACCCCCAGGAACCATAAGCAGTAACCAATCTCTGTTTCAACTGGCTTTTTGGGTTTTGTGTGGAACTACACCTCATCAACTCTGGTCTTCGGCTATTAGTGCCTAACTCCTCAATAACTGAAAGGAAGTGTTTTGTGCTTTTCCAGCAAAGCATATGGCTTTCTGCACTCACCAATTCTATCATTATGCTACGTACCAGTGTAGCCATGAGCCCGTTTCATGTGCAGTTTCATATTGCTTTTCTGTGTAAATCCCATTGTACAGTAATCACATTTATAAGGCCTCTCTCCTGTGTGCTTTTTCATATGGACTTGAAGAGCACTCTTCTGGTTAAAAGCCTTTTCACATACTGTACACTGAAATGGCCGTTCCCCTTATAAAAGAGAAAAACATATTTAATGATTTCTCATTTCAACAACAAAAAAATACAGTTCAGAATTCATTAAAAATCATCAAAATTACCTAGAAATTAAGTAGATGTGACCTTTTTCCTTGAGACTTTCTCAAAAACAGTGCTATGGCTCTGCACCATCAGTGAAACATCCCAAATTAAAATAAATATTCTGACATAAGTCCTAAACCACTGATATTGTTATCTTTCCTACTGAATTTTTTATCTAAGTAAATTATTTAAAAGAGGTGTAGAAAATCAGTTTATCAGTTTGACTTCTCTGTACTCAATGGAACCATCACCTTTTTACATTTACAAATAACGTAGATAAAGCAATGTTCTAGAATTAGAACAAAAGCTGATGTCTGTAAGAAAGTAGGAAGTCAAATGTGTTAAAAAAAACTTCTGGTAATTCTACACAGGACCTGTGACCTCCTATGCCAATACCTACTAGTGATTCCTATATCTTACCAAAGCAGCCATATTCTTCCAAACCTGCCAGAATACTACTAATTTCTAAATATAAACCCAAGAACATTCATTACAAAAATATGTTTTTTTAAATTTACCTACTTTGCAAAACCAGATCTTTGCTTCAACACTCAACGCTACTGTCTCTGACATCAACACAAGGCACATTGCTGTATGTCATGAAGGGATTCTAAAAGTACCTTCTGAACTTACAAATATACTTTGCTATTAGTTAGCACAATAAAGCCCAAGTGGGAATATAAATAATTTTCCACAATTTTCCTTAAAGGAAAAGGACTTCTCTCTTGCTTCATTGCCTGTATGTCAGTGTCCCCACATGCATTGTACCTTCCCTACTAGACCCATTGTAGCTTCCATGCTAAATCCAGCTCCTCAGACAATCAATAAGAAGTCCTTTAAAGCACAGAAGTGTTCTTTTTATTTTTGTTAACAATTATTTCACTAGTTGGAAGTGACATCTAGATTTCCTCAGATACTTTTGGCTCTGGGTTTTTGTATCTGTTAAGATGAACAGCCTTTTTAGTGTTGTGTAATGGAGTACCACATGGCTTTTGGTCCCCTCCAGCTTAGTAGCAATACAGATAACTTTCCCTTGTCCTTTTTAACTCTAGCAGCCATGACAGCTCTTTATTGATAGCCGTGGTACGGAAAAGAGAGAAGTTGTTTCGGAGAACTGACTCCCATATTTAGAAATCATGCTCTTAAGAACACTTTTCTTCTGATACAGAAGGGAAAGGCAGTTGGGCTATCCTATGTACAACCATCAAGTTGTAACAGGGCAAAAGCTGTAACCTGGAAAGCACTTTAATCACAGAAAAGTGTGTTTCCCTAGGAAAAGACAGCATAGTCTTTTTATGGAGTAACAGTTGAAGAATATAATTAAACAGAAAAGAACACAACAAATTTAAACACAAACAAAGCTAAACCACAAACAAAACACAAACAAAAGAACTGGTATTAGATGAACTAATTAGATGAACTAATTAGATGAACTAAGTAATTTCACGACAATGAAGCCTTGCATAAAGCAGTTAGCATCAGCATTTAAAACTGTCCCTTATTTAATGTCACTGAGCACACCCACTCCTTTGCACTTTCTCCTATGTGCTTGAGGAAAATTATAGCCAGCGCCTTCCCACCACTTTAAAATATGCTTTTATTAATCTGTTTCAAAGAGTGGCAAACTCATGAAGTTCATGCATTCACACTACTGTTGCAGTAATGCTAGACCCAAAATACAGAGACACTTAGTCACACCACCAAGCATGATGTTCTGGCTTTAAACAAAACACTTCAGTTTCTGAGATTTCAAGTGACTTTCCTCGTTTTAATTTCTAAATTCTTTGGGTTAGAAATTTAGGGTTTTTTTAAGCTTAAGTTGATATTTAAATGCAGTTACCTGAAACCATGAGCAAGGACTCCAAATATAATACCCCTATATATTAATGAGAAAATCCTGTGAGATGATAATAATTTCTGGTGTTACCTGTGTGAATGCGACTATGTCTCTCCAGCTGACTTGGCTTCGCAAAAGCTTTTTCACAAGTATCACACTTGAACACTCTGGGCTTCTGGGAACTCAGTGAAGGTCCAGCCTGATGGGTTTGCATGTGTTCCTAAGGCAGTTAGGAAAAAACAAACAAACAAACAAAAATCTTATTTCAGACCTTTAAGAAAAACAAACAAACTTCAGCATTTAATGTAGAAATATATTCACACTTTGAATACAAAAGCAGAGGATCCTAGTCATCAGAAGACAAGCCAAAAAAAAGACAGAAGCCTGCTTTTTTTTTTTCTTTCAAATGAGAGATTATTTTTTTTGTATATTAACTCTTTGCAAGGCTGGTGCATCAGTGTCGTTACCTATCTGAAAAACTCTGTCAACAACTGTATGCATTGCTTGGTTTTGCATACATTAGTCCCTTTGCTAATTATGTGAAGGAAAAAAAAAAAAAAAAAAAAAGGCAAAACCGGAGCTCTTGAAATGTTTTGTTCATTTACAAACATGGATTGCCCACATCAGCCAGTTCCAAGTAAGACTGATACCTGGGGATTTTGCCATCATTATTTACAGGAAAAGAATTATCAATACTGTATTTCAGATTTTTTTCTGGAAAATTTCTCCTAGCAGTTAACAGCATTAACAGTTTCACACGACCTCATTTTGTGACAGTTTCCCCAAGGACCAGTAGTCTGGCTGACCCACATGGTCACTCCAATGGTGTGAACTTCACCAATATGTACTTCCTTAAAATACTATACTAAAGTCATGGAAAATATATTAGAAGGCTCTCCAAAGAGCTACCTACTGTAAAGGCATTGCCCTGCTATGGATTCTGGGAAGCTAGCAAAATTCTGCGCAAGTTATAATGTATGCTTGCTCTTTTCTTAAAGCACTTCCTCAAATTTCTTGCCTTTTAGAATCTCTCAGAGATAGGATACTGGCCTGGACAGACCACTTGTCTACTACAGCCCAATACTCCTAAAATGAACATTCTACAATCGGAATAAAGACTTGAAAACAACATCAGGTTGTTCATAATCTAGAGAAAACCACATAGAAAATATCACTAGAAAACAGCAATGTAAAAATATTTTAAAACAATGGCTTCCTTTGAAAGTATCACTTGTACTCACAAGACAGAGCATCTAAAAATTTAATGGTAAAGTGCAAAGCAGAAAGCTTCCTGTGATTCCAAAAACTTCTCTGGAAATCAGCATTAGCAGTGATGACAGACATAAGGAAGTACAGCAAGTGAAATCTTTCTCTGGCACCATTATTTGCATGACTGGCATTCACATTTTTTATTTTGTAGTCAATACATGCATTAAAACTTCCACGCTCCAGCAAAGAGTTCTCTATCTGCGTATACATTATCCCTTAGACTCCCTCTCTCTGATGCACACCTCTCACACTGTAAAAGGAAAGGAAAGGTAAAGGGATAATAGGTACCTTTTATTAATACTGCAAAAAGTCCAAAACAAAAGAATGAGTCAACAGAACAATCAACTGTTATTACCAAATACCTTGAGATGCGTTGCCCGCTTGAAGGCTTTATTGCAGACATGGCAAACATGGATTCTTTCTTTGCCATGAACCTCTTTACTATGGTGCATCAACATGGTGGCTGAAGAAAAGGTTTGACTGCACTCAAAACACTGGTGCACGCGACCTTCTTTTTCTGCTTGACTGCTTTTAGTCACATTAGGAGAAACCTCTGTCACCTGTAACAATTTACAAAAACACTGTCAAATAATTTCGCACATCCTCAACAGCAATTTATTTTTGAAAATCTACCTCAATGTGACCAGTTTTTGGAGAGTACTTGCAAGCAACTTAACAACACAAAGGAGATAACTACGTTTTCTGTAAATATGAATTTGTATTTCATTGCTTTTAAGAATGACACAAATATGTATTTTAAGAAAACAGAAATACTATAACAATTATGATCAAATTAATTTATGCACTATAAGTAGAACATGTTTGTATAAATATTTTCCTATACTCAGTTTTACCTTCCTGAGCATCTCACATGATTCCCACTTTTCTCAAAATTCAAAGTCAAAAACATTTCAGAAAAAAAAAAAATCTCTGATTTTACAGAGAAGGGTATTTTCCATTTGCTTTATTTCTTCATTAGAGACTATTATCATAAAGAAGTAAAGCTTTGAGCTACCAAAGTTTCAGAAATACTGAAACACGTGGAAAAGTTGATCAGCTTTGGATGGAGTTTTGCTGCTTGTTCATTTTGCTTTGTTTTTAATCAATGAGGAAGTTTGGAAAAATTTTGCCTTCTTTAAATAAAGTAACAAAAAGTAACACAAAACTCCTTTTGTGTTAAGTACCACAGCTTATAGAGAGAAAACAATGAAGATGAACAAAAGGAAGTAGAGCTCTAAGTAAATTATTCAGGGTGAACTAAATTCGAAAAGATACAGAACACAGTAAAATATTATCCATACTAGAAACCAAAGATACAGTATAAAACAGTGGAAGTGAATGATTAAGAAAAAAATTGTGTGTGTGTTTCTGACAAGTTGGAACCTCCTGGGAAAAGGGTGAAATGTTGCAAGGTTGACCAATGTAGTCCTACTGGTTAAATACACAACAGTACACAGAATGACAGAAAACCAGTTTACATTAGTGTTACTTTTTTTACAGTTATAGTAGTGCTACTTGAATATTGTCACCCTTTACAGATGACATTATTGCCTTCTGAAATGGCACCCTGATTTATGAAAGTACATATAGATTGAAAAGACACAAAATCAACTTTTAAATTCCAAAGAGCAAGAATATATGTTCGTGTTAAATTTTAAAACAATGATCTTAATAGCATTTGAACACTAAAATTTAAAAATCATATGCACAAAAGGTTAATAGAATCATAGAATAATCCAAGTTGGAAGGGATGCCTTGAGATTGCCTAGTCCAATGTCCTTAGAGCATGCTTAGGTCTATACCTGGAAAGTTTCTGAATATCACCAAGGGTGGAAACTCCACAACCTCCCTAGAAAACCTCTTCCAGGGTTCAACCATCTTCACAGTGAAAGAGGGTTTCCTTGTGCTCAGATGAATTGTTGGGGTTTTTTTAATTTGTGCCCATTATCTCTCGTCCTTTCACTGGACATCACTGACAAGACCCCGGCTCTGTCTGCTTTACTCCCTCCCATCAGGCACTCATGCACGTTGATAAGAAACCCCCACCCAGAGCCTGCTCTTCTTTAGGCCAGCCAGTCCCAGCTCTCTCAGTCTCTCCTCCTAACTCAGACGCTCCAATCCCATCACCATCTCTGTAGCCCTTCACCGCATTCAATCCCATATTATCCATGTCTCTCATGTATTGGGATGCCCAGGACTGGACACAGCACTCCAGATGATGCGTTCTCACTGGTACTGAGATGAGGATAAAGATCAACCCTCTTGACCTGCTGGCAACACTTCTCTTAATGCATCCCAGGATGCTGTTGGCCACAAGAGCACATTGCTCATTCACGGTCAACTACTTCTCCATCAGAACGCCCGGTCCTTCTCTGAAAAGCTGCTTTCCTGCTACCCTCAGAGTGCAATAGTGCAATGGGTTATTATTCGCCAGAGAAATTACTTTTTTTCACTTCCCTTTGTTGAACTTTGTGAGGTCCTTCTTGTCCCAGCTCTTCAAGCTGTTGAAGTCCCTCTGAATGACAGCACACCCACTCAGTCTGTCAACCATTCCTTCAAGTTTTCTATCACCTGTAAACCTGCCGAACACGCGTTCTGTCCTATTGTGAACATCACTAACAATGAATATTAATGAACAGTACTGGCCCCAGAATTTGAACTTAGGGGACCACCACTAATAACTGGCCTTGAGATGGACTTTGTTCCTCAGATCACAACTCTTTTGAAACCAGCAGTTCAGCCAAGCCCGTACTTCATCAGCTTGCCTATGAGGAAGATATTGAAGACAACATCAAAAGCCTTACTAAAGTCAAGACAAACCACATCCACTGCTTCTCTCATACAACAGGACAGTCATCTCGTTGTGGAAGGTTCTCAGGTCAGTTAGATGTGTTTTCCTCTCCATAAATCCCTGCTGACTACTCCTAATCACCTTCTTGTCCCTTGTGTTGGAAATGCTCTGCAGGATTATTTGCTCTTTCCAGGGATTAAGGTACCTCAAACCAGGACAGGGTGACTGACCTGTACTTCCCCAGATCCTCCAACCTGCTCTTCTTGAAGGCAGGAGTACCTTTTGCTTTCTCCTAGTCCTCAGGAACCTCTTTTGATCACCAAGACCTTTCAAAGGTAATAGATAGTGGTCTCATGATGACACCAGCCAGCTCCCTGAGCACTCCTGATTGTGCCCCATCACCAAGGGATTTGTGTATGATCCTGCTCTACTGAGCACAAGTATTGATCACTCCACCCTTTTCCACTGATCGGGGATTGCAGAAGACAAATCTTACCAGTAAAGATGAAGCAAAAGGGACACTCAGTACAGCCTTTTCCAAATCTTCTGTCACCAGGTCCTCTGCCCCATTCAGTAGCAGGCCCACTTATTTTCCTTTTACTGCTGCTATCCCTGGAAAAGTCCTTCTTGTTACACTTTTGCCAGATTCAACTCCAGATTCGCTTTGGATTTCCTAACCTCATCCCTGTCTCCTTGAATGGTGTCTCCGTACTCCTTCAAGGTCACCTGATCCTGCTTCCACTTGCATATGCTTCTTTTTTTATGTCTGAGTTATGTCAGGAGCTTCTTGTTCCTCCATGTTGGCCTCCAGTCCCCTTTGTTTGACTTCCTACACATCAGGGCTGACCATTCTTGAGCTTTGAGGATAATATAAAGTCAACCAGCTCTCCTGGTCATCCTTCTCTCCAGGTCTGCTTACCATATGACTATTCCAAGCGGATCTGTAAACAGACCAAAGTCTGTTCTCCTGATGCCCAAAATTGTGATCCCACTATTTACCTTATTTTCTTCCCTCATGATCCTGAGCTTGGCTGCTGCCTGACCTTCACATTCCCAATGAGTTCCTCCTTCTTTCCAATTATCAGGTCATGAAGAATGCTTCTACTCGCTGGCTTCTCAGTAATCTATATCAGCAAGTTATCATCAATGCACTCCAGAAGTTTTCCAGATTTCTTGTGCCCCGCTTGTTGGCCTTCCAGCATATCTTAGGCACATTCAGGTAACCCATGTGGACCCAGAACTGCAAACCACAGATTCATTTAGGTGGGAAAGGACCTCTTGATATTGTCCAGTCCAACTCCTCTACTCAAGAAGGGTCAGCTAGGGCAGATTGACCAACACCAAGATGAAAGCCTCATCTGCTGTTTCTTCCTAACCAGGTGATGTGTAGCAGACTGCTAGTATTCACAGCAGTGTCACCCACGTCCTTACCCAGAAGGTCTCAGCTGGCTCACCATCCAGGCAGAGTTCCATGCATTCCTGTTGCTGTCTTGTCAGTCTGCCCTGCCTAACGATCCTGAGTCCAGCCACGGCAGCACTTCAGTTGTATCAGCTGTCTCTGATTCCAAAGAGATCACAGCCCTGCAACTGCACGCAGGCCTCTAGCTCCTCCTGTTTGTTCCCCATGCTGCATGCACCAGTGTACAGGCGCTTCAGGGAGACACCCACTCGTGACAATTCTTCCAAGACTGTTGAAGTTTCCTCTATTACTTTGCCATCTCAGCACCTTTATCCATACACATACACTTGAGGTGGGCCCCCTCCCTTCAGTTCTTATTATTGTTGAGGTTTCTTTTGCCTGTACCAGCCACAACTTGCCCACATCTTGCCCTTTGCTTGCCAGTCCAGTCCACCACTTCTTCACTTGATTGTGGGTCACCATCTGCCTCTTCTGTTTTTCTTATTTTACAGCCTGCATCACCAGGTTGGTTGAAAACATTCATTTTGCCTTCAAAAAGAGAAGTCTGAACTACTTTTTCTAATACCAATACCATATTACACATATAAAACTTTTGATTGAAATGCAAATACGTAAGAAGTTGAAATGACACCATGTTACTCTACTATTAAAGCTATTAAGTTACAAAAAGAGAATGGAAGAGGTGTAGCAATAGGTGCTATTTTTTTCCACAGCTCTCAACTTTGTCTATTTTTATTACCTAAGTACAAACTTAATTGGAAATTTTTGGAGCAGTCCATGTTGAGAGCATGATTATGTAATGTGTAGAAAGAAACACACTATTAATTGCATTTGTTCTTTGTATAGGAAAAAGTTTTTTTAACTCAAAACAGAATCTGGGTTACTGGGAAGTCACAATGAACCTCTTCCCAATACTCTTATTTGGGAATGACATCAGTCTTCCTGGTTCAGGATATAGAGGAATCAATCCAGTATTTTGAATAGTGTTCTTTACCCACAAAAGATACAGAAATATTATTGTATCTACCTGATATGTTATTTCATCAGAGTTTGCAGATGCTGAATGGGGTGTATGGCTCACCAGTATGACTTGCTGTGAGCCTGACCCACTTTGGCTAGCGAGACTGGAATCTGTGAGTATAGCAGGGAACTGCTGACCCTATCAAAGAGGGAGGGGAGAAAAAAAAGTTAGAATAACTATATCTAAACAGGTAACTGTAGTAATGTAAATTATTTTTACACCTCAAAACAACTTCCCCCTCCCCTGTTTGAAAAAGACCATTCCAGAATCTTATCTGAACAAATGCTACTGTCTCTCATTTTCTCCTTCCATTTTAAGTCTAACAATTTCAGAGTAAGAATAGAGATTCAGTTCTGATTAATTTTTCCCAGTCTTGCATCAATTGCTGAATGGTTCAGCCTTACCTTGTCATTGTCTCTTCAGCTGATAATTTCTTTAACCCCTATATTCAGCTTTCCTGAATGGTCTTCCCATGTTATTTTCATTTTTAAAAATGTCTTAATTAACCTCACTTCCAAACCATATAAAATCAAGGTAAAAAATTACTAACTGAGATACACAATGTATTACTAATATCATACTACTACTTCTATTTTTACATTACTATTAAAGACATTTGAATTTCCCCAGGTACCTTTATGTACCACCTGTTTATTCATCAAGATTCCCGAAACATAGACTGTGTTTGCATAGTGCCCAAAACAATGTCTGTTTTTATTTATGTCTGCCTTTCATCAGAGGCATAGTATAAACATCAATGCTGCCAAATGTAATCACTTAAATTATTACAACATCTGAAATGAAACCGCATGTTGCTTTGTTACTCTGTGATGCCAAAATTCACAAATATGTCATAAGAATGATTTAACAAGTCTTTTCTTTCCCTCCCGAAAGCAAAACTGCAGAGAGGAAAGTGTAGACTTTGCTTCACCAGGTTTAATCACAGCATATGCTAGGCAAAAAGTCTTTCATTTACATATATTTACACATTTTAATTCAGGACAGAAAGTAAGTAAAACTAATCTAAACGTAGTTAAGCTGAGAAAGTAGATTAAACAGGCCAAGTTTTCAGACGTCAAACCTACACTGAAATGTAACCACACAATGACCCTAAATTTTCACTTTCTAGTCTTTTAATACTATTTTTTTGCTCTATTTTTCTTTCTCCCCACTCTGTACATTTGCCAACATGTTATTGGCTTTTGATGACACCACAAACATCTTAAATTATGATAAAAATGAAACTAATGCTAAAGCTACCAGGAAGATCATAGTCCATAAAGCACTATTCTTGTAAAATTTCTTATAGTGCTACCCATTATTGAAGACAGTCAATTTAATTTAGATTCTATGCTGTTATATGCCGTGAAAGGAACTGTCTTTTCAACTCCTAAGTTCACAAGGAGGAAAAGAAAAATTTACCAGATTAAACCATAAAAAGTTTAGGACCAATTTAGGACTATTTATGTCCTTTATATATAAAGCACACGGTTTAGTTTATCACTAAAAACTGATCACTAAAAAAAAAATTTGAAACAGTAGATCCTATCTGTTCATTGCAAAAAAAACCTAAACAAAACAAACAACACGCCTGAAAGATTTATCTGTGTTTCTGTTTAACTAGTTTATGCTTCTAGATACCAGTGTGCACACATTGCTGGCAGAAAGATGGAAAGTTAACTGAATTTTCAAATACGATGTGTTTACAGGACAAAATTATTTTCCATGTAAAATCTCCAGTTCTTGGCCTGTAAGGCAGTAACATGACTTTATCTCTCAGTTCAGAAAAGTATTTCTTACCTGTGAAGTGATATTAAGTGTAACTGCATCAAGACCACTTGACAGCATTCCCTGAGTGTCAGCAAGAGTCAAGGTGACACTACCATCTCCTCCAACTCCTGATGAAGACATGACCAAATTCTGGGCAGAAACTGTAGACTGAGATATGGGTGTTGTTGAAGGAAGGTTTGTTCCACCTGTGGTATTGAGTTCTGGAATTTATGCAAAATAGTAAAAGAAAAAGCTGTTACACACGAACTCTTAGCTAAAAAATTATTTTAAGTGAACTTAATTTCTATTTCTAATTTGTGAGAGCTTTTTATTTTGGAAGCAAATAAATCAGTTAAACAGCTAATCATGTCTCAAAAATTGCCAGAGAGTCAGATGATAAAATTAGAAAAACTACATCTAAACGTAGCTTGATGGACATCATACGGCAAAGCAATAACTTTGTACAGTGTATGGGAGATGACTCATTGCTGAAAAGACACCTGAAGAAGCTTCAGGTTACATGTTTCTGTAGTCTGATCACTTCCAGAATTCTCAGTGAAATACGTTTTAACTCACAGCAGTAAAACCAAAATTTGGTAACTGTGTCTCACAACACTCCCACCCTATTTTTGCAACATGATTGATAATCTGTAATAGCAAAAAAGGCCAGTTTATTATTGATAGGTACTTCATAACAGTTTCATTATAATAGCTTGATGGCTCTCAGTTTATGACAAGCATCAAAAACCTGATTAGATGAGACAGAAGGTACAATACAACTGACTGTTTTTACTATTTCATTTATTATTTCATTACACAAGAGCATGCCTTAACCTTCAAATCTTACAGGATTCTCTGGGGTAGGCCTCGCCCAGTATGACATTAAAAGAGATTTGCTTTATAGATGTATACGAATACTAAGAGATCAATGCAACCTGCTGCACTGACTGAAAGCATGAACAACTATATACATGCACATGCGTTTGTGTGTATATACAAAAAGCTACAGGTAGAAATCCATGTGTATATTTAAAATCTCAAAATTTGAATACTAGAGCAAATTTGATACAAAAGATGGTTTTATTATCTGTCTGCAGCAAATGCATCAGACTTCTTCATCCTAGTCCATCATCATCATAGTCCTTCAACATTCCTGTAAATGCCTCAAAGTACTAATTTTCGATGTATCTTCTTGTTTTCATTTTTTCTTATTACGTGGTGTAAAGAGCATTTAAATTAGCATAACAATTTAAAACCAGTGAGAAAACATACAAAGTCATGTAGTTCCTGAATTGTAATGTGCAAGATTATACCATTTCAGATTTAGTTACCTGGTCTAATATTTATTTTTTAACAAAATGTTATTTTTAAATTAGGAAATCACTGTCTACTTACCTGGAGCATTCAGTGAAGTGCCCTGAGAAAGAAGCTGGTCATTGCTTATAGTTAATGTAGCACCTGTAGTCTGACTGTTGATGGTTGGTGCTGTCAGTCTTAAGCCACTGTTCAGATCACTACTTCCAGAATTATGCTGAATAAGATCTTGACCTGGATAGAAATTAGTCCTGTTATAACTTTAAAAGTCTCAACATTATTCTGCTACTGTGCTTAGAACTACAAACAAGTGATCATAATGTAATAAAAGCTGAAAATACAACCAAAGTACAAAATTCATTTCAACACATGCAGATTTTTATGCAGATGTTTGACAACTTTCTAGCACAGATGTGTTTATGTATATCTAGATATTAACATGTAGAGGAATACCTGACGTTATTAATATTTAGACAAATAATGATCTTACTTGTCTAGGTAAACTATAGAATCTGGCCAACTAAAGGCATATGGTTAAAATGTGATATTTTTTCTTTTGATCTACTGTATGAGTAAGTAGGATATGGATACTATATGAACTACACCAAACATGTCCTCTTTTGTAAAGACATCACTTACTTTTGTGGAACAGTCAACAAGCACAAAACATACAGAAACTGAAAGCAGATTCTATCAAGTTGTTGGACACCTACACTTCATTTTCCTTAGATGAGTGAATATCCATTAACAAACAGATAAACATAGGTGGGGGACTGTGACACCTTAACACGGACATTATTGTCATGACACTTAAAAACACTAAATACGTTACACAAAACAAAGAGAAAAAGAAAAAAAAGAAAAGAAAGAAATTTAAAAGAAAAAAAAGAAAGGAAAAGGAGAAGAGCACTAAATGTTATACTGGATCTATTACAGAAATGCTATGTTACAAAATACAAACTATCTTTGTAGGAAACAAAGATATTTATAGTGTATATAGGAGCAGTCTCTTAGAGGCAGTAAGAAAGTTGGTCTAAACTTATTCAAAGAGACCTAAAGTATTAACCACATTATTACAAAGACTGAACAGTAAGCACACCTCGAAAAATGACCCCAGGCACTTAAAGAAAACTAGACTAAATAATCTCATCCCCAATGCCTGTTCTGCATATTCCAGTCCCAGCACCACCCAGGAGTTGCACTACCCTAAGTGATATACAGCAAGGAAATAAGAACTGGTTGTACGGGCTTTGCCACCGAGACAAACATCTGTTGACTCAAGGCTATGAATAAAATAGGGAACCAGTCTAACACGCATCCTCATAGCAGATGTATTTGGTTTTCAAAAGCAGATTTGGGGAATATCTTTCAACGCTGATAATATAAAAAATATACCATGGAAAGGTTGTGACAGTGAAAAAATCCTCAAATGCTACCTTAAAAAAATAGATCTGGTACCTTTAAGGATCATTAGAAATACCAACCAGATATTGTAAGAGTGATCTCTTGAGGACTTCCTGATGAGCTTGTAGTTGTAGAACCTGAAGCATGAGCTAGAACTTGACTCAAGCTGGAATTATTTATGGTCAATGTTATCTCATGTTGTCCATTTGAAGATGATACCATACCCTGTGAAGTCATGACTTGAGAGATGTCCTGTGCACCTACATGTAAGTGGGTAGAACAAAAAAAATTTCCATGAAGATCCTTTCTTTATAATAGATACAGCTTTTTAAAGTAAATAATATATTATTTTCTAAACTATTATGAAAGATGTAGCCAAGGTAAGATGCTAGAATTTGTACCCTAAGGAAGAAATTGTTTTCATATATGGTTTATTCCTCTGTGGGTTAAGATCATCGGAACAAAGACTTTATATGTTTCTTAAGACTGTAAGTGTTCTTCTGTATTTTCATTATATAGTTCACCTTCTGAAAAAATTATATTCAAAAATGGTAACACAAAGTTGTAAAATTTGGTGTGTGGGGGCATGGATTTTCTCACTGTGGGTAATACCATAATTAAAATTAAGAAATTCAATGCACAATAAAATTATTGACACTGCTTACCACTGGAGTTGGTTGTCAGCACAGACTCTTGCTCAGAGAGGGATCCTATTGTCATGTTGGCAGAAGATGTTACTGTGGGCTGCAAAGACAGGCCTGATATAGGCTGAATAACCACATTAGCTGGCACTGCGTTTTCTGTTGCCTGTAGGGAGGGATTCTGTGGAGCCATACTGGGATCTCCAGTTAGCTGCTGAGTAAGTAAATTACTCTGCTGTAATGTCTGCTGTAGAATACTGGGATCAATCTGAAAAGCAAGTTTTCACTGTGATCAATCTGAAGTTAAGAAATATGGGTTGCATTTTAATATAAATCCAGAATTCAAAGGGTTGCATTAAGAGTATATATAATATTAAGTAATATTATATATAGATTATATAATACTAAAAGTTTAACAAACATTTTAAACTTAAATTTATTTTTTAAGCATCTGTATGTAGTCAGTCTCCATAGTCACTATGTAAACAGTCTGTTCAGCTTCAGCTGTAGATTCTTCCCTCTCTTCCCTCAGCAAAATGAAACCAAGATCATAATTACATATGAGCATGCTGGGCACCAGGTACCCACAATGCTGCCCCTCTGTACTGTTTTACTGTGGCATGTCACACTTATCACTGTCTTCAGTTCTTTGGAAGTGAAAACACATGGAGCAGAGAGAAGACCGGTATCAGAAATTAACTATTTTTTCAGCTCCTAGGGCTCATTAATATCACAGTTCACAAACATCTGTTCTCCCATAGTTAAAAACAGTTATTTTACTCTTTAGGGATGAGTATTTGGTGATTGGGGAAACAAAACTAAAACACGGTTGTCTTCATTTCATGCTAAAAAGTTCTTGAGTAGTCAGACTATGTAGAGCAGCCCAACACAACTCTGAAGAGGACCCTTCCCTGATCTTGGGGTTGGACCTGGTGACCTCCAGAGGTCTCCTCCAACCTCGATGATTTTGTGAAACTAATCAAACACAACTGAGTCCATAAAAACCATTCTTTCACATATTTACATTTAAAAATTTGTATTTAAAATCATCTCACCTTTTCCTGCTGTTCATTTTACAAGCTCAATGGGAATTTAAATTGTGAATCCAAGTATTAAAAACTTGCCAAATAACACCAGTGTCTTATGTTAAGGAAATGAACATTCTGTGCAATAATTTTGATTGATTTGTTTCTGCAGGGCATTTCTTTCAGGAGAGGGGGTAGGGAGCCCTAGCCTAAAATGCTTTCAAAGCAAAAAGACAAGATGCAATTAAAAGAAAAAAAATACAGATTTTAAAGCAATCTGCCAAAATCCCTAGGTTGTAAAAAAAAAAAAAAAGCCTGAAAAACTGAAAGAAACCATAATAGAAAGAAAACACCACTGTGCAGCTATTGTCTAAGTCTTCTAACATGGTACAATTGATACAGCACGGTATTGCCGTGTGCCTTACTGAACTCCAGGGAACTCCTCCCGAAGTATGTGCACTCATTAAACCTCCTTTAGTGACTCTATAAAATTAAAAGCAAGAAACTGTGAGCAACCTACCTGTAATGTTATGTTGTTAATACTGGTGGCATCTATTCCAGAAATTTGAACATTTTGCCCAACCAGATTAGCAGCAAGTTGTAACTGTATTCCTTCAAGAGTGGCCAAGCTACCATCTGTCAAGGACACAGTTAAGTCACCTCCAGCTACCAAAGAAAACAGTTATATTATAATGTTTTTCTTTATCATTACTGACTGCCTCTTTTAGCTTGTTTACTTTTAGAAATTAAATCATTACAAAAGCTATAGACAGACACACATTTCTTTATGCCAAGAAAAATAATTTGAAGTAGACGACTGCTTGTTTTAAAGCTTCATAAATTCTATGTAATTGAAGGATTGTTATTATTTAAGCACAAGTCAGCACCTTACAAAACAAGAACCACTCCAGAGTAGCTTTGGAAGCTTGGAGAAGTTTGGTATCAATTTTCTTGGAGAGCGCGCCATGCCTAAATAGAAGCAGCGCTCACACATGATACATATGTTCTGACTCTGAACATACACATGAAAGCTACTGCCACAATTTTGCACAGCACAAACATTGTTCAAGAAGGTTCAAAGTTCATCTTGTGCATTCACATGGCTGGAAATAAACGTACATTAGCATTTAAAAAAACGAAATCTTTAGAACTTGAAAGCTCCTCATTTCAAAAGTTGAATAGACCATCTATATAAAAGATCTTGACCTTCAATATGATCTACCAATCTCTTCAGCTGATGCTTCAAAACCATCTATCCTTCCCTCTCCAAAATCTTCTAATATAATAAATCTGCTTACTAATGCACCCAAGAAAGATCTATTCTGTGCAAAACCCACATCACTTATTTCAATTTAAGAAGGCTCCTGCCTCTTTCTAGGACATCTGAACATGCTAAAGATTCCTCCTTATTGTGTTCACTCAAAAATCCAAGCAAACATTAGACAGTTTTTAATTTATCACTAACTGTGCCTCTCAAATACCAGTATCTTCCAAACAACCAATAGCTTCTTGGTTTTGGACAGCAGTTTAGGTCAAATCAGATAAACTGGAATGGCTACAAGTAAATATGACACTGACACATTACTGTGAATTTGTGAGCATACCTTCAAAATTATAGACGTGTACTGGAAAAAGTACCAAAGAAGAACAGATAATCGAAGTCTCACTTTCAGAAGTGACAGACAGACAGTCCAAGACCCATAATTTAAGTAGTACATTTACCAGTACCAGGGAACGTTACCATACACCTCAACACTATTCTGCTTAAAACTGCCCCTGTCCCAACTAAGTGCCCAGCTAGCACTTAGACAATTTCCATTCATGGAACGGAAAGCTTACAGAATAACTGTTGTGCTGCTTTTCTTTTAAAGAAAAGGTGACAGAGTATTACCAAAAATAATACAAGTATTCCATCTACTTGTTATCTGTATTTTCTTCCTTTCTGCAGTGTAACACTACAGGAGAACTGAAGAGATCTTTTTAGGTGAACTGCATACATTTTCCTCTTCGTTCTTAAAATTTATTTAAATTTCTATTTATGTCACCATCATGCATTGAATCATGAATTCAATACAACTCTACCAGTTTGGAAGTAGTGTTTGGCATAATTTTCTGAACTCTGGTAGAAAGCAAAGCTCTCCACTTGATCTCAACACCACCACTAAGAAGTCATCCATGTTTACCTGACACCGAAGCAGGCAAGATAGCCTGGCCCACAAGTCCTTGTTGAAGTAAATTTTGATCAAACTGATTCGTCAAAACAGAGTTATTCATGATGAAAACGTTAGGGTCCGTTGAGGATGAATTAAGAAGACTGACTGGCTGGAGTCCCTCAGCTGAAGTACGGGCGACAGGCTTCCTAGCTTTCTTTGTCTCTGGTTTATAATGACACTGTATGTGGGTTTTCCTGCGCCCTGAAGTACGAAACCGTAAATCACAGTGTGGACATTTAAAGGGCTTTGCTCCTGTGTGCAGACGCATGTGGACTTTTAGACTCCCTTTTGTAGAAAAAGAATTACTGCATACGTGACAACTGAAGAGCTTCTGGCCTGGAAAAGATTCAAAACCAGTAAGGTAAGTGATACAACCACTAAAAATCAATAGCACTGAACAATTTTAAAAAAATATAGATTCTAAACTAGTTTGAACAGAAGAAGTTTGGAATAACTAGCCTTTTTTCTTTATAATTTTGGCTGCTTTTCAAATGATTTTAGGATACTAATGAAAAATATCTAATTTTTTTCCTATTTTTAAAACAATATGCTGTTAAAACTTCTATGCAGAATCTTATTTGGCCCCCTTGATGCTTGATGCCTCTCTCCTCCTCATCATGTCATCTTCCTGACTAATCAAGTTGTTTCAACTATACAGCTTATGGAACTGGAGAATTCAAGTTCCATCCTGACCTCTTCAGCCACTTATTTCCTTTTTAATTCCAGCAGCTTCTGTCTTCTGTGTCAGCCTCTACCTCAATACTGACTAGTATTAATGGATTACAAGTAGGAAACAAATCAAATTTGTGAGATAATATTGTAAAAATTAAACACCAACCACCTCAAAGTAATCTACTTAGCAGCACAAACATTATAATTTACAATTTTTTTCTTAAACTTGATTATATAAAATACTGTCCATTGATAAAATGGAGATTTTGAAAATGCAACTCCACCCTCTGGCTCAGGAAAATTGTTTGTTGAAACGTAAAATATTAGAGATACCCCAGAGTTTTCCCATGAGCTAAGACTACAACTGCTTTGTAAGCCAACTAATACAGAAGGCTGTAATAATATGGTTTACTCAGAATATCGTAATATTTACTTGATGATGCATTAAGTACCAAATTCCACCTGGTGCTGCCATTAGTAGTGTCATTATAGTAAAACATACCATCCCTTGCAAAATGCGTAGTTAAAACAGCCTGTCAAGAAAGTAATCAGTTTGTAAACAAAGACATTCAAAATCTTACTGACCTGTGTGTGTTTTAACATGACAATCTAGAGTGGATTTTACAGTGAAACTCTTTCCACATTCTTCACACTTATAGGGCTTCTCTCCAGTATGGATACGAACATGCCTAATAATTCAAAAATACACGTATATGTGAATTTCTACTTTTATATCACTTTGTAGAAACATTTATTTTGTATCTCACTAATTTTACATTTAATTGAATACTTAACATTACTTTAAGCAGAACCAGTAAAAAAGATTATTTAAGCATTTGCCCTTTTTCAAACTGATTCTTATATGTTTTTATATGCAAGTCCTATAGCAAGAAAAAAATTTATTCTAGAACTTCATAATAATAATTTCAATACTGCAGGAAGAGAAATATTAAAAGGCTGGTTTAGTCATATTAAGAATATGTAATATATTGACACATTTTTAAACCATTCCGAAAAAGAAAAATGTACGTAAATACAAGTCAAAACTTCAGCTTAGGCATAAAGAAGTTATATGAAACTGTTACTGCTAAGTTTCTGCTGAACAATTTAGAAAATTGAAAATATGCAAAGCTTTTCTTTCCTTACCTGACCAAATCACTAGGTTTTTTAAAGCTTTTGGGACAATAACTACAGCAGTTGGCATATTTGGGCTCTGCTTCCAGTTCTGCTTGCTTATCTTTGATCTCACTAATTCTGTCTTTCTCTGCAGCAGACTGGACAAGAACTTTTTCTGAGACAGTGGCACTTTCTCGAGGCCTAATCTTTGCCAGTTCTGCTGTTTCTTCTTCTGTAAAAGTTATGACACCAGGACGAGATTTTCTAGAAGTTCTTTCAGAGTTTTCATCATCATCTTCAACACATGCAACTATTTTAAGAAAAAAAACCAACGTCTGTTTAGTTTAATCTATCAGCTGAAATTATAAAAATAGAAGGATTTATTATTAAACACATGGCTACCACACTACATGTTTAGACTTAAATGGCTTTCAGAGGTCTAACTATTCATATCTGTATTTCTTTGAAATAAAGTTGGATTTATAATTTTTATTGTCAAAATAATTATATACAGGTATAAGTAAGTTAGGACAAAAAATGTACTACTTTAGTGACACACTAAAACAACTGTATAACCTACAGTACCTTGCATACCCTCGACAGACTCCTGGGAAACTGATTTCTTTAAACAATTTAGATTACAGCAATTTCAGTGGCTCTGGACATTAGACATTATCCATGCTGGAAGGCTAATTTATAAAATTACTGTGACAGCATTCATGTAATCCACTGAAACATTTGTACTTGTTATGCAGTAAGGACTATAAGAGTAAAAATGAAATAATTTACCTCCCCCTCCTGTTTCTGTAGCTGCTGCTACAGCTGAGGAGACTGCCTGATGTTTTTTCATATGTTTTTTGCAGTGAACAGTTGTTCGAAAGCTTTCATCACAGAATGGGCACTTGTAAGGCTTCATGCTCATGTGAGTTGCCATGTGCCTGGTAAGGCTGCCATTAGTTGTGAAGGAGGTATTGCAAATGCTACAGCTGAATGCTTTAACTCCTTAAAGTAACAGAAACAAATAAGTAGCATGCCTTTGTTTAAGTTTACTTATACAGGACATTTACAAAACCCAAATACAAGTTAAACTAATATAGAGCTGGAATACTCCGTTACCTGTATGAGTCTTCTCATGTGACTTAAGAACTCCTGAGGAAACAAAGCCACGGCCACAGAGTTGGCATTTATAAGGTTTCTCACCAGTATGCGATCGTACGTGTTGCTTCAAATGGCTGGATTTCTTAAAACCCTTGTTGCAATACTCACATCTATTAGAAGAAAATTGTTTTCATTAGTTGCATATAATTACTAGCCATAAAACATTCAGGAAATTCTGTGACAAAATCTAAAAGTATAACAAACCTATATGAACGCCTGCTTTGGTCTTCATTATCCTCAAGAAAATGAGGCCGTTGGGCCTGCAATTCAAGTTCTTCTTGCGATGACTGATCTTGGATCAAACGAGTAGTCTAGAAACCAAAGCCTCAAGTAAATTTCAAAAACACAATACTGAAGTCATACAAACAGGCAACAAAAAATTACGACATTTACAGTCAACACAAGTAATCAAAATTATGCTTTCCTAAATTTTTGACAAGAAATTAGGAGTGCTATATGGTACCTCGCTCTTTCATAGTGAGAAGGAAAGCAGCAAAATGCGCACCTACTGAACTGGAATAAACAGACAATGTGATGTGCTTACACCTCCCTATGAATCTAGACAAAAACATGTCTCAAGTTTTGTACATCGTCTGGTGTTTGAGGGATTAAATTTACTGTGCTAACAAACTTAACTAGCTTTTGAACAGGTTTTTCCTCTAAGGAAAAACCAACACAGAATAATCCTCAAGAATGACAGCATGTTGCAAGATTTGAAGAAAAAACTCCAAAGCCTGTTTGCTGAAATTACTCAAACTCTTCCAGATCCTAAAACACACCTCAGTTCTCTAAATGACATTTGCCCTTTGCAAGCAAGCATGAAGGGACAATAATACATGAAGATCATCATGGTAAACACATTACTACAGATGGTCTTCATGCTCAGTACTGCTACATCATGAAGAGTTATATTTAAACTGTATTTTTAGCTATTAAGCTCCTATACAAATTCAACCAGATGAGAACCAAAAAAGAACATCACAGGACCACTATGTGTTTCTAATGGTTTTTCTTCTGCTTGATCGTAACAATGTCCATGGGAATTAAAGAATTAGGACAGAATATAGTGCAATAATGTAAAGTTATTTCATAACATTAGGCCCTTTCCTTAGTTTTAGGCTTATGATCAAACTTTATAGCATTATGTCCGTTTTGAAGCCTAGAGCACCAAAAGGTAAAACTCTTTTTTAGAAACATGTAGCCAAGTCACTTATCCTCCCCCCGTCCTGTTACTTTCCAGTTGTTAATCATAAGCAATCTAGAAAAGAAATCATGAAACTCTTCTGACTTCTCAGTTTACCTTATGACCAATGAAATAGCTCAAAGAAACTCATCACTGAGCACAAACAATGGATTCTGCCTTCTAGCGGTACTTACTACGTTAATAGTGTCTGTACTTGGAACCTGAAGAAGGGCTGGCGGATGGTAACTCGTTGAAAGAGCCTGAGATTCAAGTGTGCTTGAATCCTGCAGCTGCTGGACAGCTGGAAATTGAGCCTGTTGATTGTAGCTGTCATTCACTGTAAAACCTGCCAGAAATTAAACAGTCACACACACAGAAAATACACCAAATTGGACTTCGAATTACACCACATGTCTTTGAAGACTACCTTCAAAAGATATTAAGTGGTATTACTATACAGTAATACTCATTTTATACTCTTTACTGTTGAGTGGAAAAATGCACAAAATGTTTCTGGCATCTATGTAATATGCATAACAGGGTTACTTACCATTAGCTGGAATTCTATTGGAAAATCTCCTCCACAGAAAAACACTGTTTGAAGTTTCTTCAGGATGCCACAATTACCTTAGAGCCATTGAAATTTTGAATTTCTTGTATGTAAGCATGCATGTGTCAAACAGGTTGACCCATCTCCCTTTATCCATGTTGGTACCACGCTCCCTTAACTACACTGGAAGCCGATCACAAGGATGCAAAGCTCAGTGGGGAGGATGGCGGGTGAGTGGAGGAGATGACCCAATAGGAGAACTCCAGTTTCTGATAAAGTAACCCCATTTTCTCCTACTTTGGATCTCCTCCACATATTCCCACTCTTTAGATAATAGTAAAGTAGAGCCTCTCAAAGGCAAACTGCAAAGTAAAAAATAAATGTGTTTTTATTGACATTTCCAATATAAAGACCTGAATATTTTTTTTTTCCTTCTGAAATACCAGATCTTAATCACCTCCTTTTCTAAATGAATAGAATGACAATATCAATGATCCAGAGCCAGGGAAGTATAGCTCAGATTGCAGGGTTTTTTAATACTATTAGAGATGCCCTTTTATCAAGCCCTCTAGGCCCTAATACTTCTAATATTTAAAAAAAAAACAACGATGTCGTGGAAAAAGTGAAACCACAACTGTAAGTATTAAGGTAAGGGCACCAATTTTACTATTTCTATGCAGTTTGCCTTTAGTGGACAAAAAGGGTGAAGATTATGAAAACAGGGTAGAAACAAATCCACATCAGATGATCACAGCATCGAAGGCCAAAAAGCAATGCTAAAGAATATTTTGAAATACAGTATATCAAAAAATGAGATGTGTTAAGTTTAAGCAGAAATTTTCCCAAAACGTATTTTCACAGCAGAATACTATTATCAATATAGGGGGAAAAAAGCCTACTTGTATACTATTGCTTACACCATGGAATGAAGACTAACAAACGTAAACAAATCTTGAAAGCATTAGTCAGGTTGTAACTTATCCCCAAACCTAATGCTGCAAGTCTTATGTTTTCTCTCCTAGAGCTACCAAGATTACAAGAAAAAAAGATTCAACATGCTGAATGAACATTGCACCTCAATGATCAAATAAAAAAGCAGCCTGAAGAATAGTGATGCAAAGCTTTACAGTGATAAGAGGGCTGCTAATTTCTATTTTCAAATACATTTTAAAAGCACCTTTATGGAAAAATGGTATTCCCACTACACTTGATGAAAACACAAAAATAAGTAAGCCTCAAGAAAATGAAGCAAAAGTGATGCCACTTCCATGCCCCACATAAAAAAAGGACATAACTATTAAATGTACACAGAAAAAGCTATCTAAAAAAACCTGAAACTTTTTTTTAATCAGTAATTTTTACTAGCCAAGAAGAAAAAAAAGAAGTTACTATATCATGGCCTGTTTCACCTCACAGTGTTTTAATAGAAGCAGTTATTGACATCCTGAAAAATTTCCCAGGATCACTGACATCCTGAAAAATTTCCCAGGATCATGAAACAAAATACTCAGGAAGAAAAGTTCTGAAGTTAGACGTATTTTGGGACAAACTGAAGAAAGAAATAGGTCTGAAAGCAGTTTTGGAATAAATATAAACCAATGCTGTAACAAGAACATACATGGCGCATCCCCCTTTTGCTCAACACCTAGTATGAAGGTCAATTTCCACTCAAAATTTTAAAAAGATCTGACAATTTTGAGCATTCTAAAGGCATTTGCTACCACCATACTGTTTCTACAGAGCAGCATTTAAAAAAACCTCACCAAACCAAACACCAAAAACCAGACATTCAGTCTCAGAAACAGAAATGAATTTCAGAACCTTAATTTTCTGCTCCTGTTTCCATCATTACATATTGTTTTCCAGAAGCTTTTCCTTAATCTTCAAAGAACAGAGAGCATCTTAAGCTCTGTATAATAAGGGGAGTCTCTTACTACAAAGTCCTCTAAACTTGGAATTGAATTTTGTCATTTCAGTACAAGTAATCCTTTGCATTGATTGGTTTTTCTTGGCTTTAGGACATTATCCAACCTATTCTCTTCTACATCAACAAAACATACTGAAAAACAGAATAGTCTGGAAATCCGTTTACTACTGGAAAGATACGTCTTGCACGTGAGAATAAGAAAACAACAGTATGATAGTTCATAGCAAACACAGTATTTTAGTTTAGACAAAACTTGAAGTCTTTACTGACAGATCATTTGAATTCTAACATTATAAACATATCTACATGCACATGTGCATTTCAGTGGGGGTCAGTGACCAGCAATTAAATGTTCTGCAGGTTTGCTTCCTAGGCAAATTTTGGAACCAGCTCAACAGTATTGGCTGGAATAAACGTGTAAATAGTTACTGAAAGAATCAGAATTCCAAGTCCCGACATTGCAGATTAACTTCTTAGGAAAGCAAAACAGCAGTCTGGTGGCAACAATATATTTGTATGGGCTATAAAATAACAGTATTTGGACTTCTCACATTTTTTCCAAGATCACCCTCCTATCACCACTTGAATTATTAACTTTCAACCACGCTTACAGGGAGACTTTAAAGGGAGAAGAGGTGACATAACTTATAAGAAAACACATTTGGTGACAGGTGATATTCAATAACCCAAAGACATTTTCTGATGAAAGATCTATTTAGTTGTTCTGACCTCACTAAAAAGTGTTCAAATGAAGATGCCTCAATATGTAACTTACAAAGAACACTGAGGTCCTTTTTCTTAGTCTTCAGATCTAGTTCAAATGAATAATAAATTATGACACAGCAGCATCCTCATAAGATCAGCACTTCTTCACAAGTCTGAACATATAAAGAATAAAATCTATCTGAACAAACCAGAAATTCTACAGAAGTATTACAAACAAACCTGAAAGACTAAACAAAATTCTGACAGGTCTGTGCAGACCTAAAGGATCAGCCTCATCTGTCTGAAATGCAAAGATGTTCTTTTTTCTTAAAAAAGGAAAAAGAAAAATCAAAAACCTACTGACGATTTTTTAAAAACTCCTACGTTGTTTTATTAATAAACACTGAGCCAAAATATTTTAACAAAAATAGAGCCTATAAATATCAAGGATAAAAAAGACATAGTGTTTTAGTTTGGATGTTCTGCCTAGCTCATAGGAAAAAGAAATTAGGAGCATGAAGCACGGATGCAGACATAGGGAGAGGGTCGACCAATTTAACGCATGCATCCGCGCAAATGCTTACCTACCTGAAATTCAAAAAATTTGAAGGGCTCCAGGATCTTCAAGGAAACTTCAAAGAGTTGGGAATCTGTGGATGAGATTCCAAGTAGAATAGGAGATATCTTATACAAATGAGACTTACAAAAACCCACATCACAAATCACAGAATCACAGAATGATATGGGGTTGGAAGGGACCTCTGGAGATCATCTAGTCCAACCCCCCTGCCAAAGCAGGTCCACCTAGGGCATGTTGCACAGGATGGCGTACAGACGGGTTTTAGATGTCTCCAGAGACAGAGACTCCACCACCTCTCTGGGCAGCCACCCTCAAAGCAAAGAACATTCCATCCATGTTTAGATGGAATTTCCTATGTTCAAGTTTGTGCTCATTACCTCTTGTCCTGCCACTGGGCACCACTGAAAAAAAATGTTCTGATTCTCTGTACCAATTCTATAACATACCGGTGATGAAAGAAATTTTTTTGGAAGATCTAGAAGAGTCCCCCACCTCCCCAAGAAATCAATCAGTATTCAATATTTATTTAATGGAAAAGACACACATACATAGAAACTGAAGTCTAAATAAGGCATGAAAACAATGTTTTACATATTGGATTTTCACATTCAAAGGAGCTGTAAAAATCCAAACAAAAAACACCACCACTCTTGAGAGTAACACAGAGTTAAAGGTTGCACTTTCTTCATTCATTTGGAAAACTGTAAGAGGTAACTAACGAAAATAATCCATAGGGTTTTAACAGGACCTGATTCAGTCTTGTGTAATAAAGGCAGAGACTGAGTTGGTTTTTGGTGTTTTTTTTTTTTTTTTTTCTCAGTTACAGAGAAAGCAGCACAGCCTAGGGAATTAAAATTAGCAACAAATCATACTGTTTTTTAGCATCATGCAACTTAGCACAGTCAATTATGTTTTCAAAAAAGGCCCTATACAATTAAAGAGGGAAAGAAATTTAAGAACACAGAAGTTTAAGCAGATAGAATTTCGATTACTGGTTACCAGTTATATAAATACGAAGTTATTTGCTGGAGTCAGAAACAAGCAGGAAGAGATGAACTGGTCAGCCGTACACTTCTCTACCAAAACAAATTAAAACTCCTTGAACACACTCCCCTTCCCTGGCCTCCCACCAAAAAAACCCCAAACCCACAAGTAGCTTCATATCAAGCAACAACTCAAGAAATCCAGTAGTGAAAGGAACACAGTCATTTCTTCAAGTCTCCGCAGACTACATAAGCCTTACATATATTTCTCAGTATTTTTTAGGTAAAATACAAAAGAAATTCACAATCTCTTAATTTGTTACTTATGTAGCTTTAAAAAATACAAAAGGAACCTGCTGTGGTTAGATGAAAGTATGATTTTTACGTGATTATATTTTGCACTGTCTTTTTCCACAATGAATCCCAACAGCTACTCAGTCAAATCTTAGACCGTGTTCCTGATCATCTCAGGTTATGAGCATGTATATTTTGGGAGAAAGTTGCCTACTGTCACAGCATTTCAAAATACAATCAAGGAAAGAATAAGAAATGCCTGACTATAAACCTCATACTGTAATGACTGAACATCAGCTCATAAAAGCAAATTCTATTTATGTTTCAAAATATCCTACCAAATACAGTTTCAAAATAGTAATTTAAGGAAAAGTGTTTGCAAGTTGTCTGCATGGCAGTTATTTTGACTGTGGATGCCTGCGTTCGAAACACTTTATGATAGTTGTGCTGTAAAGTCAGATATATAAAAACTGTTTAATTTTAAACTTTAAAAACTGTTATTTATTACTAACCTTGTGATAAGCCCTGTTGATCAAATGGCTGCTGTGTTATAGTTTGTTGTTCAAATTGAGTGATATTTTCCTGTAAAGCATGCTGGGATGTCACAAATCTATCTGAAATGGGGAAAGGAAGAGGAGAAAAAAAAAAAAAGGAAGAAAAAACAGAAAAGGAAAATAAAATCAAGAAAAGAAGATGTAATTAACTGGATAATTCAGTTGCTTCCAAAACTCTGCATTTTACATTCATCTGAATTTTTCCTACATTACAAATAGCAAAAAATTATTAGCTGAACAGGTATTTAAATCTTTGCTTATTGTAGGCTTTATTTATATTCCTCTGCAGTACTTAACTCATTACACCAATAAAAAGAGCAAATAAGCAAACCCAAAATACTTTGTTCCACTATTACTAATAGAACAAGTACGTGATATATTTTGTATTCTCCCACCTCAAAATACAGGTATTACTTCCCAAGTAGAGTATATGACAGTGCTTTTTATTAATAATAGAAGCGATGTGGTAAAGTTTTGTGCACTTAGTATTATTTTTCTGTATATTTGTTTCGTAATTCTGCTTGATACAACCACATAGTGCACACCTCAATTTTTTTGTTATTTTTAACAGTAAACCTGAACGCTAACGAATAAAAGAAACCGTGCAACATGCTTTAAGGAGTTAGCTTTTACTCCATGTACTCTTCAAGTAAATTTGTGAAGAAAAAGTTATTTGTGAACTTGCAAACTTACCTCATTATAAACCTTGTCATATTTTAAATACTCACCCTCGTCTTGCTCTAAAGGCTGATCAGCCAATTGTTGTTCTAGCGCTGTTTCTTCTGTGCCCACTACTGGCTGCTGGTCCAATTCTAAAATAGCCTGCTGGTCTGTTGCAACAGCTTCTGGCTGCTGTAGCTCATCACTTTCAATCTCCACTTGCATCTGTGTAGAAACATGAATGCTCTGCTGATCTACTGTAGTATCATCTATTGAAGCAGACTGCTGATGCTGCTGAAGTTGCTGTGCAAGTTCATATCTGCAAAGAAAGGTAAAAAGGTCTTTTTATGGCTTCAGTTGGACAGTTACTCTAACTATTTATGCGATTTATTTTTTTTAATTTTAATTTTTTTTATACACCAGAATTTACTATTCCTTTGGACCTAAGTGTTTGCTACCCATAAATAAACATGCTTATTCAATTACTAGCATTTGCTACAGAGCAAAGCTGCCTTTCCAAGTATCTTTAAGGAAGGGTTACTGAAATACATCAAAGGATTCATATAAAATCGTAAACATACCTGTGAGTCTTCATATGTTTTTTACAGTTTAGCGACGTTTTGAATGTTTTTTGACAATATGGACACATATATGGTCGAAGGTCATTATGGATCCCCATATGTCGCCTGAGGCTCCCACCAGTAGTGAAGGCCCCGTTGCATATAAGACACTTAAAAGCTTTCAATCCAGTGTGTGTTCTAATATGTGCTTTCAGAACTCCAGCTGACACAAAACCTCTTCCACACTGAGAGCACTTAAATGGCTTTTCACCAGTATGTGACCTTTTGAAGAGAAAACAGAAAGTAGATTTAACAGTTTGATTTATGAAGTTACTAGAAGACTAAATTTTAAAAATGAGCAAAATAAATCAAAGTAAGGCAACTGCTGTATGGATGGAAGAGGCTTCAGTTAAGAAAACCAAGAAACTAAAGCTTTAATAAATTATAAACAATCACAATCTGCACGTCATCATTGACAGGGCTAGAAGCAGTACTATCTGTCTTAATTATGTTCTACAGTCCAATCTCCTTTTCTGATCATACTTTGCCTCAACTAAAACCTCACAGTTGAATTTTTTCTATGCCAAATAATATACTAGCTCTTCAGACTAGTCTGAAGAACTAGTATATTATCATTCACATATATTTTCCTCAATTCAGCCAAAACGATGTCCCCAAAAGTTTGGAGAGAAAAAAAATATGGTCCTTCTCATATTGTATACTACTACTATGCTTGATAACAAAACTTTTGGGAAAGGAACTGTGTCCATCCCGAACAAGGCATAGAACAACTAGTCTTTCAGACTGCTATATGAAAACAGTATTACAAAAGGAAAAGATGTGCTAGTGCAAGGCTTCCCCTCCCTCCTGTAGACAGCATATAGAAATCAAGAACCGTTTCAAGCCAGTTTAAGAACCCACCAGTACTGAACTTGATTTCCATGGAGAACACTAGGAACTCACCACAATTTGAATTACAAGAAGTGAAAAAGTGGTACAGAGCTTATATTGCAGGAACAAGCAGATTGCCACCCGCTTTATGGAATCTCTCCTTAGATCCTAATATTCATAGTTTATCAAATGTTGCTCCCTGATTTATAACTCAACTAAATGGCAAGGCTCACTCCCTGTAGAACTGCAACCTGATCTAACTTCGAAGCTACCCTTTCTTTTGAAAGCAAGGTTGGATTAGTTCTCTCCACTGGTTCTCCTCCAATCTAAGTTTTTCTATGACTCCATGACCTTATGGCCATAAGCATTCACTGGATGGAACTTGAACTGAACTTTAGGCAACAAAATGATCCCCAAGAACGTTTACTCGATTACAATGTAAGCCTAAATTCTGTTAGGTTTAGTACACAGAAAACAGCACACAGGGAAAAAGAAAAAAGCTAATTTCCTTCTCAAAAGATAGGAGTTCATTCAAAAGCAGATCATCTGGAGCAGCAAATACAAAATTACGACAAGAATCCACGTGCACTGCTTGCTATTTTCTGTACGTAGTTTAGGAAAAAAAGAGTCCAAGTGTTAATAAACTAAACTGCACACTAAGCACAACCACTTGTACTCTTAGGACTGCACAGAGGTATGAATTAGTCAAAAGCCTCCTCCAACTTTACCAGAAAAATCAATTATCACTGGTTGTCTACTTAAGAGACAGTAATAAAAAAAAAGTCTTTTTAGTAAACACTATGCTTTTCCATAAATTCATTATTACATACATTTCCTTTCTTCTTTGTATTTATTTTACCTGATGTGTTGCTTAAGATGACAAGATTTTTTATAGGCTCGATGGCAATAGAAACATTTGTATGGTCTGTCTGCGTCATTCACAAAGTTATTGTTAAAATAATTTTGGAAGAACTGGCTATTCCTTGGGATTGGCTGGATAAGACCTGCATACATAAACACACACAAAAAAGAAAAATTAATTTATGAAGTTATTCCAAAGTTGCAGTAGTCTGAAGAGCAAGTATTTGGAGGGGAAAAAAAAAGTGACTTGACTTTTAGTATGGAAGTATATAAGAAAAATGAGTATGTTTTCAGCACTTATTTAAAATTATGCATGCATCTATTTAGCATTATATATATTAAATTGCACATGCTATCTATTTTAGTGACAGTTCTTCTTTTGTCCATAGATCCACCTCATTACAGTAAGTCTCTGATAAATTCAAAACAAGCACTAACTTCAAAAAAAAGTTGACAGTTATGAATTCACTGCTAATCAAATATTTTGGTCTTCCAACTTCCACCTTCACCAAATGACATTTAATCAATGTACCCCAGATATACATTATAACTTGACAAATATATGTATTTTGTGATAAGGACAAATCACTATGACATATATCTGCCTTCAATTAAAGGATAAAAAAGGTCCATTAAAAATTGTTGTATTTGTACATCATCTACTTTGGCTAATCACAGAATCATAGAATTGTCTAGGTTGGAAGGGACCTTTAAGATCATCTAGTCCAACCATCAACCTCACTGATGAAAAACATCGCTAAACCACACCACTAAGCACTGTGTCAACCCGTCTTTTGAATACCGCCAGGGATGGCACCTCAACCACTTCCCTGGGCAGCCCATTCCAATGTTTAATAACCCTTTCAGGGTAAAAATTTTTCCTAACATCCATCCTAAATCTCCCCTGGCACAACTTGAGGCCATTTCCTCTTGTCCTATTGCCTGTGACTTGGGAGAAGAGACCCTGCATCTCTGCAACCTCCTTTCAGGTAGTTGTAGAGAGTGATAAGGTCTCCCCTCAGCCTCCTTTTCTCCAGGCTGAACAACCCCAGCTTCCTCAGCCTCTCCTCATAGGACTTATTCTTCACAGCCCTCACCAGTTTTGTTGCCCTTCTCTGGACCTGCTCCAGCACCTCAATGTCTTTTTTGTGGTAATCAGTCTTGCTAATTCTCTGGGCACCTCCAAAAGTTTATTGTGAAAAAAAACCAAAACTCAAATCAACTTATTTAAACAAATGCTCTTTATACACTGGTGCCTGAAATCAGTCAAGTGTAGTTATAGAAAATGAGTTAAAAGTTCCTGCTACTAAACGTCCAAGTGCTAACAAAAGAGTATGCTGTCTCAGAAGCAGCCGACAGAAGGGTATCATCCCAAACACCCTGACAGAACAGGGACAGTAGCAGGCTTCAGTTAAAAAACCAAAACCTCATCATCATTCACACATCTGTGAACTCAAAAGTACTCATCGCAACATTAATATATAAGGCTGAGAGAGTGATGCAAAAATTCAACAAATATGCCAAAGATCTCTTTATGGTCCTAAATGTTCACTACAAAACACTTTTTATGCTGTCTTTTCTTTTCCCAGACTGCCTCATCTAGCATGCTATGTTTCCAGGGTTCGCTCAAGAGAGAAATACTGTGTGATCTGAATATCTGAAGTGGTCAGCTAAGTTTTATTGCTGGTCTGAAAATCTGAGTTTCTTATGCCCGATACCAAAATAATCACTACTCTTACATACAGTAATTTTGGGAAGCAGTGAAAGCAAGATGATTTTCAAAGACTGATAAAGATTTTAGGCTAAAGATATTACCAATATAATACTCTACTACATAAAGATGATTACTCAACAGACAAGGCAGGGGTTAGCAGACTGGCGAATCAAACAAGAGTAAATGCCTTGCCCATTACATTGACCTCTACTGGACAACAACATATATTGCCTTGAATGAGCTGTACAGCAACTTACCTTCTTCCAAAAAGTAGTTTTATCAAATGTTGTAACATTTATTCTACAACAGAATTAAAATAACTTTATGAACTCTCTATACCATGTTCTAGAATTATTCTGCCCATCTTTGAAATATTACCACTAACAATTACCACTATTTCAGGTCACAATTATACCAAATACACTAAAATCATGTCTGACTCATTAATATTTGTAATTTGAATAAACATGATAATCTCAAGAATAATCTAGGCCATAAACTGTCTGTCATTTTTTCTATACCAACAGTCTAAAAACAGTCTCCTAATGTAATGCAAAAATGCACACGCTTTTTTTCCTGTAAGGATTATACAATTTCTCTGTGAATAAAAAAGACTTCTTATTAATTCTAGTACAAGCAAGTTATTAAATATGGCACTTTTCTGAAGCCTGATTATTTCCAATGACTTATTTCAAAATGCATCTTTCTGAGCAAGTTCCAAATGCATTTGTTTGATTAAACTGTGACCTCTATCTTCCCGTGAAATCAAAATTTCAAGAGCATGGATTTACTTGCTCTTTACCTAAATCGGTTATGAGTATGGGCTCTTGCAAAGGAATATCTGGTACTGGAACACTCGTCTTTCCTACTCGAACTTTTGCAGGTTTACGTTGATGTCGCAGCTTTCTTAGTTCAGTATGTTTAAAATGTGAAGCAATATGAGTTTTCCGGTGGCCTGATGTTCTGAACTTTTTGTCACAGTGAGGACAAGCAAAAGGCCTAACACCTGCAAAAGATTAAAGAAAATATTAGTTTCTGATTTTGTTTCCACCACCCTACAAATGTAGTTTTGGAATACAGAGTCTCTTTTCTGTATTTTCTTTGTTTGTTTCCTATCAGGGTGTTTACTGTTAAACAGGTTTTCAAAACAGATCCAAAAATTCCAATCAAAAGTAAATATGAAACTGCTGAACTACTAACTGGTTGTAACACAGCAGTCTAAGCAAGCTTGTTATCAGGATGCTGGATAATGCAAAAGTGACAGCAACTTTCAAAGGGTTCCAGAACCTATCCTAAGAACAGCAGATAACAGGTCAAATATCCTTCCACAACAGCAAAAAAAAATGAGAAAAAAGAATCTGCAAAGACATAGACAAATAATATATAATAGGATAAAACAGAGGAACAGTGATGTGACAAAGTTTAAAGAAATTCTAGATCGGTCTGTGAAAGTATCAACACTGTTTGACAGCAGTCAAAAAAGCATGCCAACAGAAATTATTAAAAGAGAGACTTTTGCAGTACAAAATCCAGTAGAAATCTCTCCTTGGAAGGGATACCAGAGAACATGGTAAGTTACAGAGAAAGGCAAAGCTGCCAAACTTTCAGCTTTTGTTCAAGAAGAAATCTTGGACTTAGAAGGCTAGGAAACATGACTGGGTATTATGAAGAAAGCTCTATAAAAACACAGGTGGAAAAAGTGCACAGGAAATAAGAATGAACCATTCTTTACAATACAGCAACTAAACAAGATATGGAACTACTAAGCAGAGTATTTAAAGCAACAAAAAGTATTTTACTCAACATGTAGCTCAACATTTGAATTCATTATGTTAGGCTGTTCCAGTAGTAAGTTCACGTGGGTCCAAAATCTGTTAGCTAAGTTCTTTGGAACAGAAATCTACAAAGCGCTGCTTAGCGCAGAGGTACAGGCTGCTTCACAAAGCCCTCAAGCCAAAGATTAGCAGAAGGTAGTTGCACGCTGCTAAGTGGCATCACTGCAGGCTTCCCCTTCTCCACAGACTGATGTTGCCATCAGAGACAGCAGACAGGGCTCGATGAACCTCTAACCTGTCCCAGTAAGCCCAACCTGCTAGGCAAACAAAGCAGCAAACATCTCAGGGAAAAACAAGTGTGCTGAGCGATGGAAAACTATATGCTGGAGTTCCATAACCACTAGAATACCTATTTCTCAAGTCACCTAGTGCTTTTGCTACTTTGAATGAGTCTGACTTCTCAAATACAGCTGACTTTAAAAGTAACAGACAAAATACTGGCTCACAAGTTTAAATAAAAACAAAGTAAAAATCTTTCTGCAGGTGAATCCAACAGGTCATGATATTTCATGGATTAAAGGCATCTCACTGTAAGACGTACTGAACACTAAAGGCTCCTAGTCAATGAATGATTCTTTGTTGCAGAGTGTAAATACATAAACAGGAGTGAAAAGAAATAGCAGCACTTTTCAAATCTTATCTTGCTGAAAGGTTATACACCTGCAAGAACAATGAAAGAAAAGTGGAAAACAATCAGGCAGTCCACCAAGAGTGGAAAATTCATTTTTCTTGATGCAGAGGATAGAATTCAGCCAGAGAAAAACAGATACTGAAGACATCATATGTTATGTAAGCAAGGACCACATGAACAGAGGAGCTTTAGGGTATGCAGTGTAAGATATAGAAAACAGGTAAATTGGTAAAAACACCAAGCAACCCCTTATTGTTGAAGAAAAAAATGGGAAGGAACTAAATAATCCTTAATGATACAGTGATATAACCAAAAAGTACGGGGAAGGGGAGGGAAGAAAAGATGCAGAGTAAATACAAAAGATGACTGGGTGAGTAAAATCAGGACTCAAATTCTAAGAGTACGACTCTTAGAAACAAAATTAAAAACACTCAACATAGTAATATTAAAAAGGAGCAACAGCAGACTCGTCATAAGAAAACTAAATGTCCATGGCTTTTGTAAGGACCCAAAGTTTCAAAGTAATGAAACACCAGAAAGTTATGACAAAAAATTAAGGTCATCATATAAAATACTAAAACCAGTTCATTCTCTGATACATATTAATGACATGACAGACATCTCTATAATTTAAGCACTTCATATTGTCTTTTTTTTTTCCATACAAGGTCTCACCCACATCATAGAAAATACGGAAGCAATTTTGAGGACTTACCTGTATGTAGACGAATGTGAACTTTTAAACTCCCTGAGGTGGAAAAGCATTTCATACAAAATTGGCACTTGAAAGCTTTAATGCCGGTGTGTGTTTTGATGTGTGCTGTGAGAGTGCTCTTAACGGCAAAGGCGCGGAAACACTGGGGACACTTGAATGGCTTCTCGTGGGTATGAATGCGAATGTGGCGCACTAGATCACTTGGTTTTTTAAATTCTTTAGAGCAATATGGACAAACGTGCCACCGTATTCCATTTTCTTCCCGTATAGAACCTAGGGTAAGGAACAACATCAGAACATCAGAATGAATGTGTGAGAAACATTAACAGTTCTTCAAAAATTCCACTACTCCAACACCATTATACAAAGCAATCAAAACAGAAAAACATTTTGCCAAATAGATGCCATTACACCATACTTGGTAAACAATTAACTTCTCTATCAGATACATTCTGCTTCACAAAAATAGTGATGGGCTGGAATGACAAAACCCAAGATAATCCTGTTGAAATTGAAACTTCTTGTGCTACTGAAAAGGAAGAAGGAGGGGGCGGGGGGGGGGGGAAGAAAAAAAGCTAAGAAATGTCTGACTTCACAGAGAAGAAACCAATTTGTATGATGCCACTTAGAAATATGGAATGTAAGCGAAATGCAATATAAAATACCAGTTGACTTCTAAATACCATATCTAACACAAAATTATCAATGAATATATCTCCTCAACTGTCATGTCATAGAATTAAGTACTTGACGCTTATCGAACTGGATGAAATACTTTATATGGCCCTCTGTTCTGCAAATTCAGACTTAAATTACAATTTATACATTTTTAAGAGGTGAAGGTTCTGTAAAAAGCCTTTGTGAAAAATGCACAATTTAAAGGCTACTTTTTCACAAAAGTTGTTTTATGATCCAAGAACCCTAAGCTCTGTCCTAAAGCAATAGCATACCTTTTTCTCAACAAAAATGACAAAACAAGCATCTGAATCCCATCACAGTTTTTTATTCATACATGCTGTTCAGCATGAAGTATTCACTAATTTAAATCAGTTCACGTAGTGTTTTTCTCTGTAAACCATGTGAATACACTGAGGTTATGTTATTTTATCAAAAAATAAAGGTGGTTGTGTTTGGCTGTACAGCAGTGACCTTTATTTTTATTTTCAGTCAGAGTTGTTACTGTTACACACAGGGAACAAGGCAGTTATTATTACCAGATGACAAAGTTAATGTTGATTTTTAGCAGTTATGCTGGACAAGATAAGCGTTCAACTTTGGATCAATTTCTGCATCCCTTGCAAAGAAAAGAGCAACATCAATGCACCTATGAAGTTACTAGGGACAGAGTTCAATGACTGCTTACACAGAGCCATCTCCACCAGGCCAGCCATTAAAGTATGATGGTTATACTTGGAACAGACTACTTCTAGCGACCTTAAAGCTTGAGCAACCGTTCTGCCACATTGTAGTTTCAGTATAACAGGAGTTTTAAATCCTATCATCATAATTTATACACACACTGTGTTTTAGATAAAAGTAGATGAAGTTTGTAAATGATCCACAGTGTTTTGGAAAATCCCTTTACAAAGCCATCAACACATCCACAATACTGTAAGTCCTTATCATAGAATCATAGAGGTTGGAAGAGACCCTTGGGATCATCGAGTCCAACCATCTACCCTACTCTACAAAGTCCTCCCCCACACCATATCCCTCAGTACTGCATCTAAACGGCCCTTAAACACATCCAGGGACGGTGACTCCACCACCTCCCTGGGCAGAAAAAGTAGCAAGCAGTGGCAACATTACCAGGTAAAAACGGTGATTTTTTCTTAATAACCTTTTTTTCTTTTTTATCCAGTTTATCTGTACTCTCTTGCTCCTTATCTTGTTCTGCATTATTAGAGTCAGCTTGATGATTTGAGAGAGTCTGGATATCTGGGTTCTGATCCTGGGCCCCAGGAGTCTTCGCCTGGCTGCAGTCAGTAGAATGTGCAGAGACAGGAATTGAAGACAACCCACTGTTCTCTAAAGCTTGCTAAAAGAGAAGAGAAAAATTCTAGATTAAGACAGAAACATTCTACAGTTGCTACAACTTTTTCGAAAGCCTCTGTTAACAAATGACTGATAACTGTCACACTGAGGCAAGAATTATGCACTCATTTTTATGTACACCTGGAAGGGTCTGGAGCGTAGGCACCTTTATGGATTCTATTGTGTATGAAAAGGCTCTAGATCAAAGATCAGAACACCCACTTCAGTAGGAGTGTGTAGTTATTTAAGCACTTGGAAGAAATCTATGTTGTATTTATATTTTGTACAACAACATGGCTAGTGATGCTCATACAATAACTTAAAGAACCAACCCCAAAGACCAATTTATTTTTTTTAATAGCTATCACAATAGTAGCTATATTTTGTGTTATAATTTGGTGCAACTACACATCACATTCCCAACATTAGAGAACTCAGCACGGGTAACATGGTGAACTGGCACAGAGCTCCATTTAACATTTGGGTCTTCCAAAAAGAGGTTTAAATGGCACTTAAAAGACTAGAGATGAAAAAATAGCTTAAAGGTTAGTTAGCAAGCTACTACCAATACTAAAGAAGAATACTCTTTGCACTGTTCCATTATGTGAAGGCTGCAGAACAAGCACAGACAGCTGAATTACTGCCTGCATCTCTTCTGTTACACAGCATCTCCTACTGCCAGTATCAGGGACAGAATAATATGTTAGACAAAACATTGGTCTGACCCAAGAAGGAATTTTCTTTGCACCAGTAGGAATTATTCAAATAGCTCCTATAATCAAAACTGGATAAAGGCCCTGTATATGTTCTCATTTTTTAACCAGATAAAAATATTTTTCCCCTCTTAAATGTCATGTTTTAAGCACAGTGTAACTTAAAGATGTGCCACAAGCTGCTGATACATAATTTAGAAATGCAGGAATGCTATCACTGGAAACACTGAGAAAAAAAGGTCACTAAAATAAAAATGAGAAAGAAACCACTTAAATGTAAAATTGTTCTCACACAGAACTCTTACCTGCAAAATATCTCTATTGATTCCCACTGCGATGTTGAGTTGCTGAGTAGGTTGTTGCGGCTGGTTATTTTCTACAGGACCTGGTTCTGATAACTCAAGGAGCTGCTGGATGACATCAGTTACAGCCTGCTGACTCTGATGAGCAGCAGCTGAAGACACCTGGCTTTCTGTCTGTTGAAGAAGTGGAGACCGAAAATGTGTGGCCTGAAATAGACAGCAGAGCATTTGAAAAGGAAGATGGAAAGTATATATGAACTGATCTGGTTGGCTCCCACATCTAAAACGTCTGTTACCTGTCCACTACAAGGATGTCCACTTGTATAAAATGTAAGGATTATACAGAGCTCTCATTCAAGGTTTGCTCTCTCCACTAAAGAATTGCTTCTGTATATCCCTTTCCTGGAGTTTTTTCCAAGCTGCATAACTGTAAGCTTACAGCTTGAATTAAGTTTACCCTAACTATCGAACCTTCAACCAATTCATAAAAACACAGGGATCAATTACTGAATTCCACACTTAGAGTTTGTGGTGGTGTTATATCAAAACCTTCAGAACAATCAAACTATTAACTTTTTTCCCCTTCAACTTTCTATCTTCTAAATCTCTTAGCTTTAACAGAATCTCTTTATACTCTAAAAATTTAAAAACACGTGGGGCTGTATCAAAATATTAAAAAACACTTGACGTTTAAAAATCAAATGTCTTAGTCTTTGATTTTATAGTTGTATCCCAGGCTACCTTAGTAACAAATATGGAGAAAAGAAGGTGATAAAAGGCTTTGGTATTTATTTTTTAAAATCAGAAATAAAGACTCCTCTTGCTCTTTTTCATTTATAAACTTCTCTTCCTTATAACAGACAGACTCCCTAAGTACACCATTACTGAAACAACTGCTTTCAACCATTTATTTTTCTGTAGAAAAGGGAAATATGTGTTTATAGAATGGCTAGCCCCATAATTCTGTTTCTTATAACACACTGGATATTTGCATCTAATATTCACTTCTGGTCTCTAAAAATACTCACTTCCAGGCACACATGCACACACAAATTTATATAAAATGCCATCTTCTTTCAGATCTTTTGTAAGAAAGAATAATCTTATGCTTCTTATTTGTCATATTGCTTCCAACCTGAAAACTCCTCTGAGATTCTATTTATATTTATACATTACACCGGACAGTTAAAACAACATAGTCACCATATTTGAGGATGGTTACAAAGAATGTATTAAGAAAAATTAGCTTGACTCAAATTATATCCTGCCAGTTTAATGAAATATTCTTAATACCTTCTCATGAGACGATATAAAACAAATCGTTATCTCATTTCTCTTGGATGCATGCAAGAATAGCACTTGCTAGTTTGCTGATTTAACAATTAGTTCATTTTATTTCACTTCACCAGCAGGACAGATGGAAAGAACTCAATCTCTTCACATTCCAATTTAGCAGAAGTGCTATAAACATTTCAATATGCATTTTACAAAATAAAACATGCTATATGCCATTTTCGTTGCAATAAACAGAAACTGAAGCAAAGTGTTCTGCTAAAGACTGTTACAGCTCTTTATGGAAAACATTTATTTTCTTGCAACAGAATGCAGGGAAGCTCTTTAGTAGAGCGGGAAGACTACATTAAAAGTCTATAAAGTTCTCCCAGGCTTTAGCAAAAGAAAAATAAATTGTCAATGAAGAAATTACTCAACATCATCTTTGACATAAAAATTAGGTACTCTATGTATTTGGCGGGTCTGTTCATGCATTATACAGCGGTTTATATCCAGTCTTCTGGAGGTTATCTTTTTGAAAAATTGTATGTGTGCATACGTATATATTGAGTTTGTTACCACTACTATTAAGATCCCCTGTTCATTATAAAAAGTTTCAGAGGCCTCTTTGTAGGTCTTACTTCAATAACTCATTTTAAAAACAGCATAGAGAATGAAGTGTTTTATTACTACTTCATAACTCCACATTTATTTAATGAGAATAGTGGACCTTGTGATTGCCTTGACTCTGATCTGCTGTGTAACACAGGCCGTGTGACTACTCTGAGTGAATTACTCCTTCTGTAACTGTAGAGAAATTATAGCAGTAGCAGTTCTTTAAATCAAGTAATTTATTGTGGTAACCTTTTCTGTTGCTATCCAACTTCAATAAGTTGCTCCAACAGCAAATTATCTACACTAAAATTCCATACTTTATTGCAAAGTGTGAATTTGTCTAGCTTCAACCCTCAATTTTTTTTTTCTCTTCTCTACTACAGAGATTACAGATTTTTTTCTTCAAAACAGCAGATCAAGTCATCCTTAAATATTTTACCTGATGGACAAAATAAGATAGTGCAGCCTTGAATCTCTTCAATAATCTAATATATCCTATCATACTTTAAGAACTCTGATGGTTCTGATTCCTCCTGCATCTTTGAGTTCATGAATAGTGAACACTATAAACAGACAACTGACAAAAGCAAAACTTCCCAGAATAAAATACAAAGGACATACAAGCTTTTCATTTCTACACAAATTTTCTACTCTAAATAAAAAGACCCAAACTGATCTTCCCAGGCAAGGAAAACCTAACTTTTAGCTGATATATCAATTATTTCCTCTTCCTTCCCTATTCATAAGGAGAATTAAAAATCCTTGAAAACTCCTATCCTGTGAGTATTGCCCTACTTTTCTTGTTTGTCTATATGTGATTTTATTCTTGGCCATATCAGAACATATATTACTTGGTGTACCCAGCCCAGCAAGAAATCCAGGTAACTCTGTATCAGTGATTTGTTTTTTTCATAAAATTACCTCAATCTTTGTAACAACTTGATCAGTGATGATTTTATATTTTCTTCCAGGTCATTCATAAAATATTAAGTAGAACAGGGTCAAGAATTAATTTCCAAGGGACTCCACCAGAAACACAGTAACAATAGTGATTCCTTGCACAACCCTTCTACAAGTTCTCTCAGAAACATGGTATCCCTGTGAAGTCAAGTCAGAGGGGCAGGATAACATGGTACTTATGAGAAACCTTACTGTCCTCTAGTCTTTTTATGTAGCAGAATATTTGCCTCCATTTTGACGGCCTAATGAAGCAAATAACCTAAATAACCAGCTGCTTTCACCAAGAAGTTTGCCTTCACATACTAGCTGACCAACTTATCACAGAGGTCTGTTGCATGTCCCTTTCCACCAGTTAAATGAATGCTTAAAAAATTCTGTAAATTTTCTCCCACTTTAAATCTTGATGCAAAAACATGACAAAAACTGTACACTTACATTCTTCCATTTGTTATCAACAGGTTGCAAAAGATTAGCAGGCGATGTTGTTAAAGGCTGGGTGACAGAGTCCTACAAAGAAATGAAAATAAAGTACTTAAAGTCTTTGTACAAAAAGAAGAAATATGTCTAATAACACGCATAAAAGTAGCATGGTTCATTTTCCCACAGTACAGAGACCAGGGACAGAAAAAATGAGACTATGGGAGAGATATAACAGTACCTACAATCACTACTGTTGCTTCACAGTTTATATACATCAAATAAATGCATGTTACAGAAGCCAACACCTTAGCTATAAGCACTGATGCAGCAAAAGACAAACAACAATCTTACATTAAGACTATTTTACAAGATGTACTCATGTATCACACAAGACATGCATTCTTTGGTAGCACAGCACTTCAGGAGACTTCAACATCTGGAATTTCTTGTATTAAGGACATAATCATTGTTTATCCCCATGTATATAATAACAAGGATGACACAGACTGATTGCAAACTTCAGAACATAATTACTACGCTGGAAATGTCTTGTTAAAAAAGCTCTGTAAGTTTTGAGCAGAATGAAGCAGTCAGTTCTAATACAAGAATGCCAGTATCAGTCTAAGAATGCATCATCTTTCTATAGCAATAATAATAAATTGATCAATCATTAAACCTCTACAGCTTCAGATATAAAATTAAAAATAAAAAGGGTAATACTCTTAACATGCAACTGACATGACAGTTATCATCTTTATTCTTCCTTGTTAAGCTTCTTGGCATCTGTTTTTAGAAAGAAAAATTTTTCTCCTGTTTTGCTTATACTATTGTATGGAAATATTCTTTATTTTTCCCCCTCCTTCATGCAAGCAGAGAACTATGGATGAAGAAAAGATAACGATGCCGTTCTGTAATATCAACCGGCAATGCAAATGCAAAATGCTCAAGCAAACCAAAAAAAAGAAAAACACAGCTGGGTAGGGAAAGCAAACATAAGGTACTATGAAGGAATCCTTTTCCATTCTGCTTTTAAGATTAGGCTTCTGAATGTAGAGATGTACAAAAAGACATAGATTAAATGTACTTTTTCTTCAGTTAACCTGACGAGAGAAATAGCACCTGCCATACAAAAAAAAATATTACAAAATCTAAAAAAGAAAAATAGTTCTCCAAATAACACTACTAGACACTCGATTTCAACAAGACAAGACACAGCTGCATAATGAAATCGAGACTTTAATTTTTAACCCTCCTCTTCAAAGTCTGCTACCACTTGTCATCCATTGACCTTTAAAGCATAAAGGTTGAAAATTATGCAAAACAGAGTGGAATAAAGGTAGAAAACGTAGTTATAATCAAAGAAAAAAAATACTATGATACATTAAATATGCAATGGCTCAAAAAATAAAATAGTCTCAGGAATCCAGAAGCATTTTCTGAAATTTAGCTTCCTGTATCTTGGTAATGAAAAAAACAAATGTTCAGTGCTTCCAATAAAGCTCAGATTTTTGCCTTATGATCTGTCAAATAAGAAGCTAATGTTTAAAACAAGTTATCAGAAATACTCAGAAAAAGAATCCACTATGTCTTTATATGGACTAGAATTATATAAATAGTTTCTGAAAGTGACTTAAAACTAATATATAATTTGAATAGTTCCAGATTTCGTTGTTCCAGCAAAAATTCACAATTATTTTTAGGGAAGGAAACCCTTCCTCCACAAACACTCTGTAAGCACCATAATTATATTGTACTTAGTTGTAGCATAAATTGTTGTATTTTCATTTAAACCCTCAAACTGAAAAATCTTTTTTTGCATATATTGCCCAATTTACATTCTGCCAATATTTAATAATACAAATCAATTCCAAAAATAACGGAAGTCTTTAAAAAGAAAAAAAACAGCTTTTAGTTCTAACCTGTATGAAGAATTACTGGAATTAAGATATAGATCTAATTAAACTCTTAAAAGCATCTTCACAATATATCAAGCAAAGCTTACCGCTGTAACATGAGATACATCTGTTGAAGAGCTTGCAGAATTCTGTGGACCACCCATGTGCATCTTGCTGATATGTGTATTTAAGCTACCCAAGCTTTTGAAGACACAGCTACATTCTGTACAGTTGTATGTTGGGCCATTCTTAACCTTCAATAAAACAAAAAACTTAAGTAAGTTTTTGCTAAATCTACCATCTAAAATTTTGTATTTTTCATTATTTATCCACGTAACAAATATACTCTGGGATTATGAGAGCTAACACGCTTTTTTTTTTTCCAAACCACTGATATCCAGTTATGGAATCAGTCTGGTATCTCTCAGATATCAAGTCAACTGTTATCTATGTGCATGACTGTCACGTTCCATTACCACTTCTCACACTGGGAAGCACCAGAGAGCAAAACAATGTTATCTGGCAAATGTGGCCTCCGACTTTTCCCTCCTTACGATTTCCTATCATTACACACTTAGAAACAAAACCAAAATGCAACTTTATCAATTAAGATGTGCCTGAAGATGTAACATCATACATAATGCAGATGGAAGTTTAGAAATATGAAGACAAAAAATGGACATAATTTATCATCAAATTTTGGCTCTCTTCTGTTTACTTTTTCAAACGTATCTTTTATAAATTTCCAAGAAAAAATAAAACCTATTTCTCAGGTCAAAGTAGAATGAAGGTGAGATACCTTGGGTCAAAGGCCATAGGGATTGCAATAAAAAAAAGAAAACAAACAAACAAAAAACCACAGTGAAGGGCAGGGAAGTTTAATAGGTAGTCAGAACTGAATTTGAACACAGAGGATGAGAAAGTGATCAGCAGCAACTTGTTTGAGACTTTCAGGCCAAGGGATTGAGGTAATAAAAGCAGCTAAATTTGCAGATTCCAACCATCCTCACTTCCCCCTCTTCCTCAGTCTATCACACAATATAGGATTGTGTGATATAGGACAATATAGGACAGCAATAAGAACCAGTGCAGAACTTTCAGTACGTAGGGAAAAAGAAAGTCTTCAACTGAAAACACGCTGTACTGTTTGCAATATAGTATGGAATTTTGTATTTCCTGACATGAGCTTAAACAGGTAAGAAGACGTTCAGAAAGAGGCATAACTGACTAAATACAGTCATATAAACTGATATACAAAGTGAGAACCTATTTCGTTATCACCTGTAACACTACTTTGTGACTGTCTCAGGATAAAACGAAGAATTAATAGAGTTCTGCATGCAGTCTTGAAGTAAACATAGTGACAGCAAGAAAGAAAAAAATAAATAATCCACCAATAATCCAAAGCAGTAACTAAAATGTAGGCTCATGATCACAGAACACAGCATAAGACGCGATCAAGAGGCAGCATTTAAAGTCCCTTATCCCACAGGTTTTTGGTTTGCTTTTTGTGTTTGTTTGGTTTTTTTATTACAGAAAAGCAGAGTAACAGAGAAAAAAAGTGGAAAATGTTTTTGGCTTGATCCCAACAATCTTGCAGTATTGAAAAAAGTCAATGTAAATTATAAAATTAATGTTGGTGTGGGTTTTTTATGCAGCAAAAGCTATCACATACAGGCAGTTGTGAACAGTGAGGAAGACTAATCACACAAAGACATATGAATTGTAAACATATGACTTAATATAATCAAAGCATAATACAAGACATGAAGACATACGGTATGATATATCCTATAATTATACGGTATGATATATCCTATAATTAAGAAACACTAACACACTAAAAAGATTCTTAGTAAAAAAATCCAATAAATAAGATCCGTGATACAAAAATAGTAAACAAGAAAGCAAATCTCAGACAGAGTTAGGGGAAAGACTGACAGTAGAGACGATATTCTGCTTGCAGAAAAAGAAGAAAACCTGCCTCTTATCAGTTTTTACTTTCCAAATTGAAACTAGGTCTCTTTCTATAGGTATTTCCAGCCACAAATCACTAAAGTCAGCAAGGAAATTACTGAATGAAGTTGCATAGTCAATGTTGCTCAGAAGATTATATTACATTATTACAGCAGTACCTTTTGAATCTTAAAATTTGTCTGTCACAGAAGAAAAAAAATCAGCATAAAGAGGTTTGAGACAACAATGGTTTTTATCTTATTTTGTAATTTTCTTCTACCTGTAACTGAAAAAACTCTGAAAAAGGCTCAAAGAGAGATACATACTTCAAAGATAAATTGCAAGTATGTTCTATGATGGAGTTTGTGGGTTGCTGTTTGGCCTTGAAATTTATCACCATTTTCTGCTTTGCTGCTTTTGGCTTACTTTCATCTGATCCTAGCTCCCGTTCTTGCAAGACCAACATCGGTACATTTTTATACACCTAAAACCACTAATAATTTATTAATCTATCAATGTACTAAAAAGACAATGGTAAATGAAGGTTTTGCTAATTATCCTAAATATAAATTTATTCAGATTAAGCTATTTTAGGACAGCTGAATTTGCAGGTAAAACCAACAAACTAGAAGCTATACTACAGCAGTAAAGCTATATTGACTGCAGAAAGCATGAGAGAGCGCAGGAATAGTAAACAGGACAATTTAAATACTGAAAATGAAATAAGCAGTATATTAGCACCAACCACTTTATGAATAATTGTATTTACCTCTGAATGAACTCTCTGTATGTGTGACTGAAGATTGCCTTTCTGAGAAAAGGCTGCAGGACAAAAGGCACAAGCATGGGGTTTTTCACCAGTGTGCTTGATCATATGGGTCTGCAATGCCCCCTTCTGGTTAAAGGCTTTTCCACATTCACTGCATTTAAAAGGTCGTTCACCTAAAAGAAAGAGAAAAATAGGATGAGGGGTAAGGGGCTTTAAATAAACGTTAGTAGTTTCCTGTATCTAAATGAAAAAATGTATCAGCTAAAATAAAACACTGCATCTAGATATAAGGGCATACACACAAAGACAGAAAGACACATTATTAGGTGGTGTGACAATGAAATTGTTTACTTTGACCACCAATCTCAACATCTATTCCAGTGAAGATCTAGATTTCTGAAAAAGTTTTATGATCAAACTGACGATTATCAGTTAAAAGGGGAAAAATAAATAAAATCTGCATGAAACAATTATAAATAACAGCTTCCCTCAACTTGTGGTTTGGAACATCTCAGAAGTTGCTATGCAAAACCACTGGCAGAAAAGAAAAAAGGGAAAAGAAAAACCAAAACCACATATACCATTCTTTCACACCGAATCCTATGAAATGCGTATACTGGCATAGCACCAAACAAAGGAGCTGAGGGTGGAACAGACAGCAATAATTAAGTCAAAAATTTAACCTTCTATTTAGTCTGAAAATCAAGAAGTCTTATAGCTACACTGCAAAAGTTAGCCTATAGTTCCCACTCCCCAATAAATATTAATAGCCGTTCATTTTTTATAACTACTTATTGGAAATGGTATTGTACAGCCCTGCTCAAAAATAATATTAAAACCATGAATGTTTATATTACTACTGAACATTAAAGAAAATATAGGTGATATTGTTACAGGAATGCTCTCTCATTATTTCCTAATTTTAGTGTTCTCGGTGCTGTGCATACTTAGAGCTATTTATAAATTAACAGATTAAGCAAGAAAAACTCCCCAGAAATTGTAAGTGACAAAACATAATAGAACTGCATTAACATATTACAAAGCTATATATCTGAAACACAGAGATACTAAGAACAAAGTTCAGTTTCTTACAACCACATGACTTAATTGACTACTGGAAATCTCCACTGTAAGCTCACTATTGCTCTTAATTTAGTGAAACAGTTTAGTTGTGGTAAGTTCAGGACCTTACCTTTGCACATTTCTATAGCTGTGAGCATGCTGAACATTAATGTCTGCTACACCCGTAAGTACTACCATGTGCTAAATATTATGCACACTAAAGTACTTTTAATGAATATTTTTATATGACTTCTAATTATATAGCTCTAATTACATCCAGTTTAAAGTGATTAATTCTTAATTAAATTCACACGGTTTGAAATAAAAGCAGCTATTTTCTGAAATAGATTACAAGCATATAACTCACATAGAATCTACTCTGAAGGAATGTGTCTTTTCTGTGCTACTGCTTATGGCTTTTGAAGATGCTTTAAGGTCTGTAGGTTTTAACTGTCTATTTTTAATAGATATTAAATAAAGAACACTGATTCAGATCTTCTTGAAATACAGTGACAAAATTCATATTAGGCTTTCATAGGTAAAAAGCTTGGCTTCCACTAATAGCTGCTGGTAGATACACACAAGTAGTGCTTCAGGTTACTTTGCCTATTTAAGTGAATTCCATTATAAAAACTACATCTTAATTCTAGTGTGGAAATGTGGAATTTCTGTATTTCTCAAGTATAACTTAATAAAATACAGAATTGGGAGGGGGAATGGCGGGCTCATTACTTAGTTATTAATATGGGAATTGAAATCCCTGAGACTTTTTTTTCCCCCAAAGGGTACAATTTCTTGAAATTAATAGCTACGAACAAAAAAAGTAGTGCAATTAAGACACTAATGTAATGCTGTACATGTAGCACAGACATGCTCTTTTAACTATTAAAGACTTAAGTATTCTAAATTCTTTAAAGCAGAGTTCTTCTTTCCTACATATTTTACAGTACCTCAAGCAATTGGATACGAGGCAGATTGAAGATTTAAAGTAATGACATACTTCACAAATTAAATGAGTATTCACTACCTACTTGGAACTTAAAATGACCCACCATGATGTGCAGATTGGGACTACATTTTCTGTCCCTGGTTTCCCAATAGACAAATGTCTTTTTACTCTTCAAAAGAACTATAAATGTTCTTAAACTTTTTGAAGCTTCAGAAAAATATCCTCAACCAACTATAATCTCTTTTTTAATTCTCTCTAGGATAAGCTAAAATAAAGTATCAATTTGATACGCAACTCTTAAAATGAGACAGTTAATGTTCAGTGACTTTTTCTGGATGTTACTTTGAGGCAACTTTTAAAGTAGGTACAAGGGTGACCTCTTGTGTTACTGTTTTACAATTAAATTATAAAGCTTAAAAAGATTCCTGCAATGGAATTTTTATTTCTCCCTTAGCAAACAAAGTCTTTCTTCTATATGGTAACTTGTCATATCACTGTTTGAACAGACTGCCAATACAAACAAGACTGCACACTTATATAATTTACTAGTCTAATTAGCTAAAACCTAGACAAACAGCAATTTATTCACAATACGGAAAATACACATATATTGCGTATCACTGGAGCACGTTCAACAGTTTTGCTTGAAGCCAAACTCAAGCTGTATTATGTACGTCTGGTTAAAACTTGAGAACTATTCTTACAGTACTTTGTACACTTCAAAAACTCCTGTATTATTTCATACTTAGCATTTTTCAGTTATTTCAATTACTTCAGAGTTAAACAAGTGCACATATTTATTACAGTCATTTTGCACCTGCTATTCATTCCACAAAACTGAACAGTCACCTGCTCTTCTTCAAGTATCAAAATTAAAATCTAGGTTTATCAGCTCGCAAGTTCATTTTGGACAACCTGAAAATGGCAGTTATGGTAAGTACAGAAAAGATATGACAGTACCTTTTAATAAACCAATCTGAAAACAAAAGCAAAGCCACTATGTTAGCATTATTATTCATTCTCATGTATTCCTACTCTATTTGTGACTGTAAATTTTAGAACCTGTTCTCTAGAGTATGTGAGATCTTAGTTACATTACCTGACTGGCCCGTCTCTAGGTATTCCAATTTTAGGGTCTATTGAAACTTTAAGTACCCAAACTGGTATTCTGTAACAAATGAAACCTGTAAAGTACTTAACATTTCCAGATGGATATCATGAGAAACAGTATAAAAGATTTTTAAAGGCATATAAATTTCCTAAACAAAGGAATTGCATAAAGGGTGATTTAACCAACAGGAAACAGCATCTAGCGAAGCAGATAAGTATTAATACTATTTCAAGCCCCAACTGGGAGAAAAATATTTAACATTTCACAGATTAATTGAATTTCATAAAACAAATGCAAATTAAAGCAATTACTTCCACAATCTTACCTGTGTGTATCCTAACATGTCGTGTTAATTGACTCGGCTTCTGGAAGGTCTTTCCACAGTGAGGACAGGAATAGGTAAACCCACTTCTATCGATATTTCTGTTATAAGATCTGGTATTTGATACTCTGTCATGGAAAAAAAAAAAGGAATTTACATAAAATATTGTTAATTCTAATATTAAACATTATTTTGAAGAAACTGATCTTACCCCATCATTTTTTAATATAGAGCATAAATTTGATGACAATGTATAGTATCAGCTGCAACAGTAAAAAACCAAACTCTTGAATGATACTAAAAGAATAATGTAAATGGAGCACTTAGAAAAGTGCCTACACAACAACAAGAATTTTACAGTTATTTCTGTAATAAAATGGATAGTTCTTGGAGGTTCTCTAGCGACATTCTCACTGTAAACTCTGCTGGAAGTATACAGTGACTTCACAACTACTATTTTGGTGGGAACTTTCAACTCTGTGCCACTTTATTTCTTTTGCCTAAACACAGCAAGACTTTTTAAACTAGAACAGGAAGATCTCATAAACTAGAGCACAAATGCAGTTGCTGAGGTCTAACAAAAACAGATGAAGAATTTAGCAACCCAAATATTCACCACTGCTTCTCAAATACCATGTCTCTGTGGAAACTGTGATGTGTAAGAGATGATACAAACTCCCACAATCCTTTTCTCTAGAAATAAAACTGGTTAGCTTAAATGACTGCTGAAAAACAGCAACATGGAAAACAAAAAACAACTGATTTTTTCTGGAAAAAAAAAGAAAACCAGAAAAACTAGGAGATATTAAAAGACCATTACAACAACTCAGCTAAAGAAGGTGAAACCAGAAGGCAGTGTGGTATTTACAGCACTCCACATTTTCCATGGTGCCTGTGTACTCACACCTATACAGTAATCCAGCTTGTCAGTACTGCTAAAAGCTAACTGAAATTATACAATTTTAAATACCTGGTGTTTTTCTGAACAACTGAGAAAAAAGAATTAGCTAATGTGGAACAGATGTGCGAAAATACACCACCACGTTGAAACACAGGCTGGTATAACAAAACAAAAAATAGCAGGGGAGTAACAGTCCATGCATAACACAAGAAATCATTAAACTTCTGTTCAAATGACACATCTTTCTACTTAAATATTGCATGTGTTTTTTTAACTCTTTTCATACTCTTGCTCAGCAAGCACAGAGTTTGGTTAATATATTTTACTTTTCACATTAATTTTATCTATCAAAATTTACTGAAATATCCAGAGAAAAAAATCAACTTCAGATTGAAAAGCAGGAGAGAGAACAGTACAGATGTCAGAAACTCCTCTTCTGTCCATCTCTGGACAGATCTAGACAGCCTGATTGTCAGACGAGGCTCTCTGATGAGTAACATCTGTTTCAGCTATAACTGCGGCATTTTAATAAAGGAAAAAATATCCAATTTGGAGACAATTGCAAAGACAATCTTTCAAGGTCCCCATCACCTTCTAAAAGATCCCCTCATTTAGAGTTATAATGACCATTTTATTTTTTTTTTAGCAAAAGACAGATAGTAAACTTAAATTATAACTGCATAATAGTTTTCCCTTCAAATATTTCAAACACAAAATAAACACCTTTTTGGGAAGGAAAAGTGCAATACTTAATGAAAAAAACCTTAAGGGAACAAGGCTCTTCATAATTCTAAAATCTAAAGATTTTTTGAAACTTATTTTACAATGAAAAGCGAGAGTCAAATAGTAAAATTTTTAACTACTGAGGTATGTCTTTGAACTTCATACACAGTCAAACTGTCAATAAAAAAATCCCTAACAATCAGAATGTCCACATTTTTCCTTTCAAAATAATTTCTCCTGAATCACAGAAGGTGGAGTGGGATCACCTGGCTCACATACATGGTTTGTATTGGTACTGCTGGTAAAAGTACAGGAAAGCACTGTTATGAACAGTAGTTTCTTGAACACAAATGCAATGTGTTTACGCATCTGAACTGATAAATAAGGTGAATCTCATATAAAGAAGCTCTGAATCCACAAGATTCATATTTATGAAAATAAATGAAATATTAGTGCTCCACAATAATTTATATCAGAATGCAGCATGCATAGTACTCTCTCAAAATCACAGCCATCTGTTAGATTCACTCACCTATTCTTTATTTGTTCATCCTAACTTCCACAGGAGATGTTCACAACAAGAATGTTTTTTGTGTGTAATATTATAATTCATATGAAACTTAACTTTACCTCCATTTTCAATTTGCAAATGGAAATATACAACACTTTTTTAAAAACTTCTTGAACACAATTATTAAGATCTCAGAACCTGCATAATTTGCTAATAAAAATAATTGGAAATACCCAATATTTCTCATTTTTAAACATATATTTTCCCATCTGTTTTTACAGAGCAAGGATTAAAAGACACATCAGCTGTCAAAAACATAAGCTTCTCTTAATGTATAAGCTGACAGAATAACTTAGAGTAATTTCTATCCTCCAAAAAGCGAAGTTAAACTAGAGAGCTGAAAGACAGAAGAAATTTTCCCAGAAAGTAAGAACAGCATTCATTCGGCCTGACTTTTCCCTTCATTTTGTGCTTTTCCAGATTTACAAGAAACTCACAGCAGGCTGTGAGGACTACTTGCAAAAGATGATTAAAGTGCAAGGAACAACTGATTTCTTTGCAGAAGGTAAGTATTGGGATTTTTGCAATTACAGTAACTGCTACGTAAAATTAGTATGTATTTTCTTCAATGCACTGCCATTAGCCTTTAAAAATCACACATAAACAGAGTTCAAAAATCACTCTGTACCAGAAAAACTTTGACTGTGTTTACAAATAGCTAGTGGATGGAACTATGCTTAGTATGAGTGCCAACATATGAAAACAGGAAAAAAAAAACAAAACAAAAAGAAAAGTCTCCCAAAATAACCACCTACTTACGCAAGGTTTTAAAAAAATAAATGTAATTTCATAACACCATACCAAAGAAAAGAAGTGATCTGCATAGATCATGGTACTTTGCTGACTGGAAATGCTACTCTTGCTTCCCCCAGCTACCACCATAAAAGTAACATCTGCTCATTTTGTTACAGTCCCGTGATTGTTACCTTATTTTATAGTGAGTTTTCATATGCTCCTTTAGCTGCGAGGAAGTTTCAAATTCCTTTTTGCAAGACTTGCAGCTGTGGATCCTACTGCCTGCCAATTCTTGACGATGTTCTTCCATGTGTATGGACAGCTGACTCTGTAAAGTAAATTCATCGCCACACTCTGAACAGATAAGATTCTGAAAGAGATAATGAGAGACTCTTTTTTTTTAAAAATTCCCACACAGCGGTACGAGCTTTGCTCAAGTAGACGAATGTGTCCTTCTATGGACACTGGCAGCTGGGAGCAAGAAGCAATAAAAGCATACAAGCAAGTTTGAGCCCCATAACATAAATCATGAACAATAATCACTGCAAGCTTATGGTAATATTTATAGTTTAAGAAACTCAATTGAAACTGAATTCTGAAGAAGTTGATACAATAGCAGAAACGAGTGGTTCCGTAGCACCCTCACAACCACTCTCTATTTCCTTGGTAGGCCAGTTCAAGATACACAGAAATTTACCTCAGTGCCATTAGGCTACAGTCTATGTAACCATTTGTAAAAAAGACTACTTTTTAACCAGAAACATCTTAACAGTAGATTCAGGGATTTTACACTTTCACCGGTTAAAATGATAGATTCTCACTTTTTAACACAAATCCCACCACAATTACTATTTACTTTTCTTAAGCTACCCTCACAGAAAAGACAAATTGGGACACATGTTTTTGACAGACATCACTTCAACCCATTAATTTTACAGCAGTGTTAAACATACCATTTTCCAGTTACATTGGTATTCCATGTCATTTGGAATGGAAATCTCACTTATAATGTTTAATGCAAAAGCACTGCCACTTTGAAATTCAGAGGAAGAATCAAAGTCAAATGTCGTTTCAATGAAAACTAAAAGCTCTGCATTGATTTCACTTTCTTTTGCTTTTCAAAACCATTAATTTCATTCCTCAGTGTATCTTTATTTTACAGAATCTAAGCAGAGAGTTGAGAGTAAAACTATTCACTGTCTCTTTGGCAATACATCTGTTGCATGTTCCTTACTGGTGTGCCTATGTTACTTCAGACAGTTTTCCTCTGTTTATTTTTCAATAATTGTAATTATCACTACAAATGAAAATGGTTTATATCCTCTCTCTCTTTTTTAACTCCTTGAATGATCAACAAGAGGAAAAAAAAAACGGTGTTCATTTAAACAATGATATTGACAATAATGTTTTAAACTAAACGAAGATATGCAGTGCCATTTTTAAAATACAATGTGTGCTCGCAGCCCTGAAAGCCAACCATATCCTGGGCTGCATCAAAAGAAGTGTGGCCAGCAGGTCGAGGAAGGTGACTCAGCCCCTCTACTCTGCTCTGGTGAGACCCCACCCAGAGTACTGCGTCCAGCTCTGGGGCCCTCAGCACAGGAAAGACATGGACCTGTTGGAGCACATCCAGAGGAGGGCCACAAAAATGATGAAAGGGATGGAATATGATGATGTCCTATGAGGACAGGCCAAGAGAGTTGGGGTTGTTCAGCCTGGAGAAGAGAAGGCTCCACGGGTGACCTTACTGCAGCCTTTCAATGCTTAAAGGGGGCCACAAGGAAAGATGGGGACAAATTTTTTAGCAGGCCCTGTTATGATAGGACAAGGGGCAATGGTTTTAAACTAAAAGAGGGAAGATTTAGACTAGACAGAAGGAAGAAATTTTTACAATCAGGATGGTGAAACACTGCAACAGGTTGCCCAGAGAGGTGGTAGATGCCCTGTCCCTGGAGCCATTCAAGGTCAGGCTGGACAGGGCTGTGAGCAACCTGATCTATTTGAAGAGGTCCCTCCTCATTGGAGGGGATGTTGGACTAGATGACCTTTAAAGGCCCCTTCCAACCCAAACTCTTCTATGATTATAATTATACTGGTTTCTTGTTACTGCTCTTCTGCACTCATCTGTAGATAAAGTTGGCTGATGCAGCACAAAGCAAGACTAAAGTTAACCAGCTTCAGCTTTGTGCAGTGTTCTCCTCAACTGCTATGTGTAAGTGAGTATGTATCTTTGCTCCGTTTTCAGATTTTCAGCCTTTTTAACAGGAAGAGTAAGAAAGTGATAGCGAACAGAAGAATGTACTCCACTGGTAACTTCTTATCCTGCACATAAGGAAAAACTCCCAAATGACAGCTAGTGTCATCGTCAAGACCCTCTGCTTCAAGTTCAAATTCCAGCTGTCCTACAGGCCTGGTGCATAACTACTGGGAAAGTCATTCTTGCAATTCTGTATGAATCTATTGTTATTTCATCTGTTTTATCACAGAATTATCCAGCATTACAAGAATATATTCATTAGCAACTGAAAGGTGTTAATAAATAGATTTAATTTTTAAGCTGCAGATTGGATTCTAAATTGAAAGGCATCACACAACCTGTTCTTCTGATATCTGCACAAAGTATCAAAATCAGAGCAGGTGAAGTCGATGAAAAATCACTTAGTGATAAAAACGAATAATAAAATGATTCTTAGGCATCTTCCTTGATGCTCGGTTTCCTTATTCTGATTTTTTTAGCAACTCATAAGTCAAGTTTCCGCAATAAATACCCGTTAAACTATGTATCATTATAGATACATTAACATGCAACAAAATGATACCTAAGTCCTCTCTTTTTTACTCAGTTCTGTACATGACAAATCGTGAACTGATAACAAGAATTAAGAAGGAATATGTTCTCTACTGATGGCATTCCCTGCCTGCTTTAGGGAAATACGTGAACAGGCCTATCATCCCAAACCTACTGGAAAGAACTGCTGTAAGCTGTCTGCAGTTGGTATGGAGAAACATACTATTATTATGTTTATGATTAGAAGTCTGGCAATAAACATGCATACTTGACTCACATCTAAATCTCCAATGCAAAGTGCAATTTTAAAAGGCTTTCACAGGACAAGAGGTAATTACATGATTGAAAACTTGATATTCTGGGCAGTACAATTAATTGCAGTAATGTAGTAATGACTATGAAGTGTGCAAAATACTACCACAAATTAACTGTTTGCTAAGAATTTAACCAATGCCTTATAAAAATGGAAAACGAAATTGTGGCAGAGGAAGGAACAAGAAGTCCTCTCAAGCAAAATAACCACTCAAAAAAAGGGGTGGGAGTTCTAGATAAGGGAAAAGCTTCATGATGTAAGAAATAGATGGTGGGAGCGCCTCACCACAACACCTAGGCTATTACATGTGGGCTTATCAATGTATACCAAGTCACAGAAATTGCTTCAAAATAAACGTATTTGTTAATATTCACCAGTTAATATTCATCTATCAAACATACACAGATTCTCTGTTATTAAAGACTGGATAGGAACACTTGCTTGTATCCAGTACATTAATTTCTCCTACTGTACTGTTATTAAAGCAGACTCCCCACTAAAAGTCTTACCTTTCTTCTGAATGAGACCATTTATTCAATCCTCTACGCTAAAGCATGTACATAAGGGATTAAGTACAGCCATTACGACATGTTTTCAAAATATAAGTTATGAGGTTTAATGAATTACCTCCTCTTTCTCATGTAACATTATATGAGCTTTCAGACTGGCAACTCTGGAGAACTTCTTGTTGCACACGGGACACGTAGGATCTTCACCATTATGAGTACATTTATGAAGTGTCAAGTTGAATTCAACATTGAATGACATCGGACACTGGTCACATCGGTGAGGCTGTTTGTTAAAACCACAAAAAAAAAGACAAAATTCCCATAAGTTACATACAGTCTAGGTGACACATATAAACATAAAAATCAAAATGTTTAAAAATAAAAAAGTGCAAGTGCATATGATAACATATGATAACGATCCTTAATAACACCAGTCTTAATTATTTTCTCTTTGCAGCTCACTACTGAAATTGCAAATACAGTATTTCAAGAGCATATGGGGAAAGAAGGTAGGGGAACTGAAGAAAGAAGAGGCTCAAAATTGAAACTGAGTGAAGTCAGCAGGAGAGAAACATGAGCAAGAGATGGAAATAAATTTTCTTACTTCAACTTGGACCATGAACGCTCCTTGAGCAAAATTAGTAATTGCACCAGAAAAACAGTTTAGTTTATGCTAGGATTGATTGTTCTTCAGTTGGTATTTTTGCAATCAATTTCCATTCTTTAAGAGCACCTTCACTTCTAGTCATAGGCTCTTACACAGTTGTGCAATAGCATGGTTTTAGCAATATCAACTTCCATTTTTTATATATCAACTTTACAACATTGAAACTTGTGTAAGTAGTTCTTTGTATACATGAATTATCATCTCAAAGTCCTACATTTTGTAAAAATTAATCTGTATCTACAACTACCTCAAACAGTAATAAAATTATTTTTCCATTACTTGTAAAGTGTTTTAGCTTTGTGAAACAAAAAGCAAGGAACAGAAATGAAATATTTCAGGTTACAGATGAAACCTGTGACAAAAGCATTATTTAAGTCATTCCAGTCCTAATCATATATCTGTATTTTTCTCATTCTTTCCCATATTTGATTTGTAAGCATCTTAAGGGATGACATTAATCTACTAATACATACATACTAGATTAGGTCGCTTGACATTACTAAAAACAGTTATAAGAGACTAGCAGGAGTCTAGTTGATCTATATAAGCATTATTTTCTTTTTATTGCTAATGGGTAGAATCCATTTGCAAATTTGATTAAAAGAAACCCATACATTTTTCTAATCTACCTGAACATTTTATAAATCAAAGAAAATGGCTGAAGTTAAAAATTACTGAACTGGAAACAACAATCTAACTAAATAGCAAAGTAAGGTCCTGTCTCAAAGGAAACAAGAGGAAAAAACGAAAGAAAAACTTTATAAAACTCCGAGGGTCCCCAAGCAGTAATTAGTGATGTGATTAAAAAAACCTGAAAGGAATTTCTTATGTTAGCTTTGTCAGTATATGAAAATATCAATATACACAGGTATTTTCTAAGTTTATACCTACTAAACTTCATACCTTGTCATTTTGCTCATGATCCCTCATATGGCGCTGGAACTGTGTCTCTTTTGGAAAAGACAGCACACAGATCTCACACTTATGGAAGTTGGGTACTTGGTAAGCAAAATTACTGTTCTCTATATTTGGTGTCAGAACATCATCTACAAAATAAGCATCGAAAAATTTGTATGAAGTCACATTTCATTTACTTCATTACATAAAACAGAATTCTCTGAAGCAGTAACTATCCAAACCTCTGTAAGAATTTAACTTCTACAAGATTTTAAATTCACTGGGTCTTGGAAGATCTCGAGCATAAACATTACTGCTTCCATTGACACAGGATCAAAGAAATATATTCATCCCTCTAACTGCCAGTTGCTAAGGGTAAAAATAATCACCTTACCCTAGGAATCTGAAATCAATTCTTTCTTGCTTCATAAACACCCATCAAGTGTGCAACAAAATAAAAAGCTGCCAAATACACTAGGTATGACTAAGATACTGCCAGGTGTTACTTTTTACATCATGTAATATTATATCATGTTTCTAAAAAGAACCAAAACTTTTTAATACGACATAGTCAGCAGTTCTGACTACACAGGTTTTCTACCCTCTCCTGCTCCATTCTCTCTCTTTTTTTCTTTAAGAGAAGTTTAGGCATCTTTTCTTTCTTCTAGTTCTAGGAATGTAAAACCTTTATTAGTTATCTTTACAGCTGTAAAACAAACACCAATGTTTCAAATAGCTGAGAGACGCAATAAACTGCAGTCAAATGGTGTACACATTAATTCAATGGAGAAAAAGATGATTATGTTTTTAATAGACCCAGTCTAAGCCCACACAATTTTCTTTTTTTGAACTACCAGTCAGACAGCTTTTGATATACAAGTTGCAAGCTCCTATATCTCCTTGCTCAAATGGCTGAAGTCAGTCCTATTAATATTTTCCTTATATCTTAAGTATACAAGTAAATTAAAACATATTACACTTGAGAAGATTCTGTATTACTAAGGAATTTATCCTCATTTAAGAAAAACTTTGAGAAAAGCAACTGGCGGAAGAAGCTAAAATACGTAAGAACATTCAAAGCAGTACTAATAAAACAAAAATAAAATTCAATTGACTCATGCTGCAGATTAAGGACCCTGAAGAGAGAAAAAAACCCCATAGAATTCAGTTTAAAACACTGCCACAACTCAACAAAGCGCATCAACAACAGAATACAACAAAAAAAGGGAACTTCGATTTTATTATCTCAACATGAAAGGACGGATATTTCCCTTTAAGGAAGTCAGTACTTCTCACCATGTATGTAAGAATTAGGCATAAGAAGCAACAACACAAGTAGAAGTTTACAGCATCCTGTTTACATTTCCTCAGAAGAAACCAAAGATCATGATTCATATAGTATTGCTGCTCAGTACTGCACCTACCTCGAAGTCCCGTCTCATTCAAGAAAAAATAAAAATTAAAAGAAAAAAATAAATCAGTATCTTATGTCCTGACCACCTTTTCTGCAAGCTAAAATTCTCAGACAAAAAGCTTGTAGTTGAGGAAGCTCTAGGAAACGTTTCAGCACAAGATATTTTAGTTGAGAAACCACAACTAAACAACGTCCCAGGGACTTTACTTCCTATTTCTGGACTAAGTCACCCAATTAACTTTTGCTTTGCAAAGTTTAGTTCTGCATACTTCTGTTGGAAAGAAATAATTTTCTTAAGTACCACAAATCTTTAAAATGTATAAATTTAAACCTACTGCATCCTTCAAAGAATTCTCAGCTGTAATTTCATAGTATATGCAAACCCTATCAATAGCAGGTATCCTTTCCATCCCTGAAATGGTTACAGTTCTTGAAAAGCTGGAAAGTACATCTTTAATTGCAAGACACTGTCCTTTAAGTGTCCCTGTAATAAATATAACTGAGTAGGATAATAGGCACAAAATCAATTTCTGTAAACATTGGCATAACAAGAAAAAGAGAGGTAAAACAGAAGTCTGCTCCAATACTTGGAATACATGAAAACTTAATGCAAGCTTTCCTTTCCCCAACAAAAAGCAGTAATTTTTCAAACACATGAAGGCCTGACCTCTCATGTTAAACTGACAACTGAAAAATGACTAATCCATGACTTTAAAAAGCCCTTTAAACCTTCTCCATGAACCAAAGAGATTATTATCTTTAAACATTCACTCTCGAGATCAAAGACACCGGACAACATACAAAAACGATGTCTAAGCAATTGAAGCAATGAAAGCATAACTTTGAATTAACCAAAGGTGGTAACTTGTCTACAATTTGAAACACAGGAAAAGCAACGTGCTCACTAGCATCTGAATGAGATTACCAAGCGACTTATCTTTCATGTCAATAACATTCCTATACATAATTTTTATTAAAATGTGTAGCATATCTGTATTAACTGCAATACTGGTTAATTGACAGTCTGTGAATTTTCTTCTGGAATTCAAAAAAGACTTAAACTGTATGTTAATGAAAAATTAAATACCCTTGTAATGTTTTGATAGAATTTAAGTGGCAACTGTAAGTATATGAAAACATAATACATGACACACAGAGATTTTTCAACTTTTCTCTAAAAGATGATGGGTAACAAAAGCATAATCTTAAAATATTTCATAAATAAGAACAGAAAAACAGCCTTTGTGAAATGAGGAGCTGAGCACATCCCACCCTGTGTCAAAGCACCAGGAATTTCTCAAGACTAGTTCATGGGTCACCATAAACCGTGAGGCACCTGCAAGCCTTTCCACCTTCCTCACAGCCCTCAGACCCCAGGAGAGAAGAGAAGTCACACATTTAGCAAATTCATTGCTTACATCTGTAAGCATCTCAAGCATTACTCTTTCAAATAAAACCTTTATAAGTCTTTGCAAAGCTAAATCTTGGGCTTGTTTTTGGCCCTGTATTTCAATATTGCTAAAGAGGAAAAAGAAAGATGTCTGGGAGTTGGGACTGGACCCTAGAATCAGCAACTGGACTGTACAGTCCAGCTTGACTTGACAGATGACTCTCACTAAGGAAATCCTTAAGGCACAGCAAATCAATTTAGGTTAGATTCCAGAAATCTTAAAGACTCGGCTATGGGAAGATCAGGCTGAAGACTGCTCTAAGTAGTTACAGCCAGTGTGAATAGAGAAACAGTCTAGCTTGGACTTAATTCTGAAAATTCAATTGTTTAGTTTTCATTCAAAGGGCAAGATTGAGATCTAATGCAGGTTACAAATAAAACACAAATTCATTCCTTCATTAATACTATGTCTGAAGTAGCTTAAGGCAAAGATGAGACTACAAAATTTTTTCACTTGTATTCTCACAAAAATAGTTTGATGTTCTATTACCAGCCAAATACTGGGTACTTCTAAAGTTGCACAGCTCCCTTTTATATGCAGGAAGTAACTTTATTTTATTCTTTCCATAGTAAGAAGGAGAATATTCAGAATAATATCCCTGCTGAAATCAAGCTATTGGGTAACAGCAAGGACAAAACTTTCATGTTGCATTTAAAACCAGGGAGAGAGAAAAACAGGAAAGACATTGTCAATTAGAAATGGTAACAATCAAGTGAGATATATTTTAACTCTTCAGGCAGGTGTCACAGATTCATAAAGTATGACTTGGGTCTGTCTTCATTTCAATGTAAAAATTAAATACCAGTTTGACAGTTTTTTGTTAGAAGAATTAATAACCAGACAAAGACACTACTTTCACTGATACCTCTGTATCACACCAAGTCAAAGTAATAACCTACATTATCATATTCCAGGAAAACCAACAGTAAAATCTAGTTTTGCTATCACCTTTCCTTATATCAGAGAAAAAAAAATGCAAATGCTTTTAGACACATCAGCTTAGACCACAAAACAAGCCAAACCGCAAAATACTCAATCGGTCTTGAAGGCCAATATTTTTGAATACCCAAAAAATACAGAAGATTATGCCAATTGAAGAAGTTGGCAGTGGGATGTGCAACCTGTACTTTCAAATGCACTGATAAATTTGTTAATTAATAAAAAATAATAAAATCCTCCACACATTCCCTGTGTACCACAGGAAACAAAATACTGGCATACGTGACATCGCGTTTGATGGTCACAATTCACCATTTATCAGATTAGCAACCTTATCATAAACAGCTAATATGGTATCTACGCTCCCAGAAAAATGTTAATATTGGGTACACAGATTAAGCAATCTGTTTATTGTCAGATATGCTCTGTCCAGATGAAAACACAAGTCTTCTCTCTGTTAATGAAGTAATAGAATGCCATTCAAATCAACAACAGAGAAATAGAAGTTTGAGGTTTTATTTAAAGACATTAACTGATCAAGAATATAATGTCAACAAAATTACATGACAAATTACCATGCTTTTACTAGGGAAGAGCTGGATTGGCATCCATAAACAAATATACACACAGAGAAAGCACAAAATGAGTATCAGAGTAACAAACCCCCTGAAAAACTACCGATTCCTTCAAGTCTGCACACTACAACAAATGATAACCCTCACTGAACAGCTGCAAAGTTTAAAACACTGCCATTTATTAAATATTAACCATAAGGAAACAGTGTAAAAGTTACTGCCTTTATTTTTTTTTTTTTGCAATTTGCATGTTTGTCTAGCTGCAACATAAATCAACCCTATTCCATCACAGCTTGAGAGAGACAGTCAAGTATCAATACAATTAAACTAAACAGGGAGCACTTAGCTCATTATGCGCCGTCATGCATTTTGGCTGTGTTCTTACAGTTTCTTAAAAGTGCCCGAAAATACCAGAATCAGATTGGCAAAGCACCTATCATAGACAATAAATTTCAGTTTAAAGACAGACTTATTCAAACACTCTTAATGTTACAACCTTCAAGTTCTTTTGAAATTAATTGTCCCTCACAGAGCAGCAGCAATCAAGCTTCAGGTCAACTCGGCTACAGAGTTGTGCGATACAGCCTTCGGGAAAACTTGACCCCGGGGAGTTGAGTCAGCGAGCAGGTGCTCTCTGCTATAAACCACCGATGACAACTGAATGTGGAAGGAGGGAGACAGAATTAGAGCACTCCCAACCATTCCTTCCTTATGTAAGCAGCACTGTGCCTCATGGCAGCCTGCGGTCTTCCCTGCAAGGCGCAGATGGA